TCTAAAGAAATTTAATAAAATGTTACTAGAAAATTGTTTTTTGATTTCTCTCTGATTTTGATTTTTTTAAATTAATCTCAAGAATAATTTTTATATTTAATTTTAATTCATTGATTTTCAAAATATATTTATAATTATCTATATTCAAGAGCTTTAAGTATTTAAATGTTAATAAGTTAACAAAGATATTGAATAATATTTAATCAAAAGCTTAATATGTTTTCAAGAATATATTAATTTATTTTTAAAAATTTAAGAAATATATATTTAGATATTTCAAAATATATTATTCATTATACTTGTTTGAATACATAAAAATATTCGCATTGTCCAATTAAAATTTCGATTCCAATGCCTGATATAACCGCTGATAGATAGTTTGCCAGATATTTCTTAATTTATTATAGTGCTCCGTCCAAGGGTATAAAAAGGAAACCATTTCCAGGGATTCAAAGTCTGCACGGAACTGGGAGCAAAGCGATGCAAGACATTTTGCCCCGATAATGACGCCGTTGAGCCAGCGTTATAGCTTTCTTTGTTGTTACTCCGATTTGTTGTAAATGTATTCTTGGTTTATTTCTTTGTTTCTCTTATTTTTTTTTCCTGTTTTTGTTGTTTCCTAACCGTTGAGTGTTGTGCACAAGCACAATCACAATGTTGTGTGTCTGCGTTTTGTTTATTAAAAAGAGATTGGAGTGCAGAAAGATTCCGTTACCGAATTTTTGTCATGACCATAGGGGCTAAGGCAAGGCCTCTTGGCCACTTGGGCCTACCGACGACCATTCATCATCATTCCGGTCGGATGATTTTATTTTGATTCCGGAACGTTTGGGGATTACCAGGCCTAATGATTTTATTATAGTTTTTCATACGCCCCTCGTCGAAAATTTGATTGATGGTCCGACGTTGGTCCGAGGACGTTGCTGCGAGGACTTGAGATTCCACATTTCGGTCTCATTGTCTTGACATTTAAGCGGCTTCATTATATTAAAAGCGAATTAATGTGGACAAGGACTTTCAAATTGAAACAAAATTGCGCTTTCTTTCATCCGGCAGGCGCAGGGACGAAAGAATGAAATTTTTCAAGTGCCGAGGGGCAAAGTTTTCCTCTTATTTTGTAGGTTTGTTAAATTATAATATTTTTTCTTTTGTATTTCAAGGACTAGAGGAATTTTTAGCAAGCCTTGGAGATTTTTTAGGAATTTGGAATAATTGGAATACTGTTTTTCTTAATAAATATTCAGGTATACGTAAATCATCATTAAAATGATGAAGTATATAAATAAAAAATGAATTTCTTTGTGAGATACTTGCAGAAATTTGTGAAACATTTTTCTAAAACATAATATTTTAGTAATTTTACCTCGCACTTCATTTAATTTTTAGAGAAGTTTATTATTACAAGTTAATTATAATTTAAATTTTAAACATTCCTCAAACAGCCTTACACCAAAAACCAAACTGTAATTGGCAAGTAAATCCCCCAGCAACGAAAAATACAAAATACAGAAATCCTTTGAACTTTATACTTTATCTTTTTTGTTAATTGGTGTGCGGTTTTCCCCCTTTTGGCCAACACCTATCACACCGAACAAGGTCGCCCGCATATTCGCAGTCGATTCCCAACTTGTGATTTTGGGCATAAACTAAAATGCGGCCCCACAGCCAGGGTAGCCAGGCGGAACAGGCCCATCCTCAGAGATGGTCTGGAGCTCTCTGGCCGCCCCGGATACCCGCACATTGTTATAATTACGCGTAACTTTCGACAAGTGTCGCCTGAAAATCGCCAAGCGTTCTCATTTCAAGTGCCGCTGTCCAGGCAAAGTTATCCCTTTCCCTTTTCCCTTAAAGGCCGGGGTTGGGGGGAATCCCCTGGCAGCTGCGGTTTAATCTTCTTTTAAGTTGAGGCCCCCTCCCCGCCCCCGCCGTGTTTTCCTGTTGAAAAAAAGATGGCGACACCGTAAAGCAAAAGTTTGCCGCCACTTGTGGGTTGATAACTTAGAACAAAGCAAAGTTGGGGGTGTGGAGAAAGGGATATATAGCTACTGGGGGGCGTGGCAGGGCGTCCGCACCGAGGGCAGTCCTTTGCACAGCTTGAAAATAGTTGGAGTTTTGCGAAAAGTCATTGTTACACTGCTCTGAAGAGGCCAGGCCTTTGCTGCCGTTCCTCTCCTCTATTCCTCTGGATCTCTAATTAGTCGTCATTGGCTTGTGATTTGTGGGCGGACTTTCGGCATTTTCGAAATTGAAGAACCAGCAGAACCATGAATGGGCGCCTGCACACAACTTTTGCCGCCACAAATCCAACTTGTAATTTTGTGCACATTTTTGATTTACCTCAGTAGGGGGAATTCGATTGGATTGCACTGGGAAAATTATAATTTTTATTATGAATGAATAAATATTCGGAGTGATAGATAAATCTAGGTTTTTAAAATAGATTGTATACAAATTATATACATAAACTATTAAAAATCATAATAATTTTTTAAGAAAGATTTAAAGTTAACGTTTTGGGAGGTATAAACCTATAATAATTTCGTAAAATACTTATTATTCCTAATTTATTTATTTAGAATATCCTTTAAACATTCACATTTGCATCATTAATTCCTTTATTATTTTCAACTAGTACTCAGTAAATTATCTCCAGTGTAAAAACACCTTTTGTTCGATAAATCTCGAACCACACACCTGCTCGAGAAAACTACTTGAACCTGGTGGGCTTCTTCTCTCATTAGTCGAACCAATTGCCATTTGCCAGTTCATGTTTATATGGTTTATCCGGGGGCCACAGGCGTTATAGCTGGCCGCAAATGATTTAAAGCAAAATGAGCTGGCCACAATTTATGCTGACCACATTAACCATTCTCATGGCAGAGAGAGCAAAAGTCCAGGCAAGTATTTAATTAAATTAAGCACAAAGGAAAACACCAAAGTACGAGCTGTGCGAAGAACCCTGAGCGGCCAGATGAAGTTGGCTTCTGTTTTTATGGTTTGGCCTTTAAAGCAGTCGTAAATCATTTAAGAAAACGGCCATGAACGGCAGGAGCTGGCAGAAGGAATGAAAGATATGTATAGGGAGAGATGGCCGCTAATGGCCGGCGGTTCTTCATTGTCCGAGCCGATCACGCCCGCCAGCCAACCACTCGAAGCGCATTAAAATAGACTAAAATGTTCGCCGTTTGCTGCCTTTATGGCCACTTAATGTAAAACAGTTAATTAGCCCCACACACACACACACACACACTTAAATATACGCCCACATGAAGGAGGAAATGTCCAGGCTTAATGCAAAATGGCCGCCATCACTTTGTTTTTTTTTTCGCCATTTCCCTTTCGGTTTCTTCCGCTGACGTTCGCCATCTTCACTCCAAACCAGGTACAAATGAGGGAGGGTCGGGAGAGGGGCGAGTGGATGCTGTGAAAGGCGGAAAATTACTTTTGATTAATGAAGCGCAATGAGGCGCGTAAAAAAAAATCAAATAAAAATTATAAAAAGCTATGGAAGGAGCAAATAGCGAAAATCAAACACCAAACTGGAATTCCCTTTGCCAAATGATGGGTTTACTAATGAAGAAGGATTTCTTATTTAAGAAAATACATTTTATTTAAATGTATTCTAACTTTTAATTCCCTTTGTGTAATCATAGTTAATTGTGAGGCTTAGTTGGAATAAAGGGAATTTTTAATGCCAGAACTAAACATTCAAAGATAATGTTTCAATTAAAACCGAGTTAAATATGCAAATTGCCAGCCTTGCAACTTTTCCTCACAGTCCTCATACCTCTCAGTAGAGTGAGGGTATTTACAAAAAGTTGTCAATCTCTTCCGTTGTCGCGCATTTCCCGCCCTATTGGACCTGGAGCTGAAGCTTCCTGTTTATGGCAGACAGCTACTGAGTAGCCCTGAGAGCCATTCAGAAAATCGGAAAAAGGAAAATGGACAGGAGGACGCTGGAAATTAACATATAACTGACGGCTGACATGCCATGGACATTATCGTGCCGAACACCTTCGGCTGCAGTTCATTATTATATATTAATGCTGATGCAGTGGGTTGCTGGTTGCTGCCCAGCCTCCGGGGGAAAACTTCAGCTTTCTTCACCTGCCCGTAATTACGATGATGGTGGTCACGAGACGTGACTTAAGGACCAAACCCCAAAATGAGCTGGAGCGAATATAATTCTAGCTAACTTGGCAAAAATGCAACCTGCCTGTCATAATTATTTGCCGCCGTTCGCTTTTATGACCTAGGATGTGGCCATTAAACGTGGAACAGATTCTGGCGGACAACTTTCGTCGAAATTCATTAGCAGGGATGATAAGGTCAGGTCATGGTCGAGCCGCTGCCAAAGTTTATATTAAGTAATAAACGTTTACCGCGACTTAATTTGCATATCCAAGGCGGGCGGACAAGCAGTGCGCGCCTTGGTTAAGTGCCAGGCGTAATTAAATTTAATCCAATTAAATGGCTGACAAGTCCAGAGCAGCAGCTTTGCGGTCTGGCTTATTTATGGTGCTCTCATTAATATGTCCTGGCCTGGCTGGCCACTAAAGCAGCTTTATTTGATTTTTGGGCAGGAGAGTAAGAGTTTTATTAAATAAAAGCCGGTCTTGAAATAAATCTGTGAGTCCTTGCGCGTATTTAAAAAATGCGCCCTCTGTTAAGGATATTTACTTTATGTTAGAGAATAACATATGTTAAACTTTTACAAGTCGATTTTTACATACGCTGTATAGAGGTATTTTACATACACGTTATAAAATACTACTACATGAATTTACATTCCAATTAAATATTTTTATTAAATAATGAATATTTTGTCCTATTGTATATATATTTTTGTCTCACTTAAAACATGAATTGGAATGAATTACAATTAGCCAGATATTTAAAATTAATTAAATATTTGGTTAACAGAACTCAAAAAACCGTTTGCATTCATGCGGTATTTTAACCTGGCATTTTTTAATGCATTGCCTTTAGAAAGCGCCCGGTCACACTGTTCGAAGCCGACTTGTGTAATAAAAACAAGACAAAATTTTAATAAATTCTCGTAGATGTGATTAAATACCGATTGAAATCACAGAGTTCGTAATTCACCAGGAGACGTGAAAAGAAGCAGAGGAGAGCAAACCAATGGTGCGGTCTTAATAAGGGCGATAACCAGTGTCCAAGGGTCGCTGGCCGATCTCTGCGGATCAAGGCCACAGGTCATTTAAATTGGGTTTGATTGGTGTGCCTTATTGATTACAGAACCCCAGGAAAACGGTCTTATTGACCAGAGTCCGTGCCACCAGCTGCTGCTCGAGGATTTGAGACTGTCTCCGCGTAAACCATCATGTTGCCTGCCATCGTTTTCCGCCAGGTGCAGCGCCCCCTGCACCATGGAGCTGCCACTCTGGAGCACGTCCTGGGAGTGGGCGGCAGCAGCTTCGTGAACTGCCTGAATCGCTACGCCGCTGCCACCGGGTTCATTCGCATATCGTTCCTGGATATTAAACAACGAAGAAACTGGGAGTTGGCCCGCCTGCGCCTCTATGCCGACGCCAAGAAGCAGTCGTTGCACCAACGTACAGTAGAGGGTCGGCACCTGCTGCAGGGCGTCATCGATCGACAGCGTGCCGAGCTAATCGAACGCAAGAACTTCCTGGTAGACGACATCCGTGAGGCGCGACACAAGGTCCAGGAGCGAGTGCGCGAAAAGATCGATGAGATTCGCGAGGAGCGCGAGAATATCATGACCATACCCAACATGCTGACCATTAGCAGGGCCATCCTATCGCCCTACATCGGCTATGTGATTGTCCAGGGAGACTTTACGCTTGGAATGAGCCTGCTGGCCATTGCCGGAGTATCAGATCTGGTAAGATATCATTTAAAATACTTGTTAGATACTTTTTAAAATGTATTTAGAAACAAATGAAATGAACTAAGTTATTTATATTTACCTTCAGAATATCTAGTATAAAGAACTTGTGTCGATTCCCAAAATAAATGCTCAGAAAATGCAAACAAAAGAAAAATATTCAAAGAAGATAAACAGCAGCATTTCTTGAGCATTATTTAGTATTTAATCTTTTGACTTTGCTTTGTAATAGAAAATTGTTTAAAAATACTTCTTCTTTCGTAAGCTGGACGGACAGATCGCCCGCCGATGGCCCTCGCAAGCGAGCAAAGCGGGCTCCTTTCTGGATCCCATGGCCGACAAACTGCTAATGGGCTCGCTGGTGATTGCCCTCTGTTACACGGATCTAATCCCCATGTGGCTCACCGGCATTGTAGTCTTCCGGGATGTGTTCCTCTTGGCAGCTGGTTTTGTCATACGCTACATAAGTCTGCCACCGCCGGTGAGTACAGGTTATCCTTAGTCTTATCATCATATGTTTCTTATCTATGCCTTTTCCGGTTAGAAAACCTTTTCGCGATACTTTGACGCCACCCATGTGACAGCTCAACTGGAGCCCACACTGCTCAGCAAGATCAACACGGGTGTGCAACTGGCCACCATTGGCCTGAGTTTGGGAGCTCCCATTTGGAACTATTTGGGTGAGTATAATAAGACAGTCGAGCAAACCAGAGATCCTAAATATTTAAATCTTAACCCCCTACAGATCATCCCGCCTTGCATGGCCTTTGGTATCTGACAGGCCTGACAACGGCTGCCACTGCCCTCAGCTACGTTATGAATCGGCATAATACCTTTAAGATTATCCAGAAAAAGACGTAGAACCGGGCATTTCCGTTATATCTGAATGCGATATGGGATGGGAGTAGTATCTCCCTTTGCAATGATTAGTATGTATTGTGTTTTCTACATGAGTACCATCTAAAAAATAAAACATATTTTGTTAATAAAGTATTGGCAGTGTCAAACAATTATTTTATAATTTTTTTTAAGATTTAATTTTTTGACTATATTAAAATATTTAAATACCAAATAATAAATTAAAGGGGGGAAATACCGAACCCATCCAAACTCTCATCTCCCAAATAGTTAGTATATTTTTTGTATTGGTATTTTATCAATTCTGTTAAATGTAACGGTCTGTTAACAATAACATTTATTTTCAAGAATTTAAAGAGCTATCGACCGAAACAAAAAATTAAAAAGAAATGCAGCTTAAAAAATACATTGTAAATAATTTTAAAAATAAAGTACCAATGCTCAAATTTAATTTCTCTGCAAAAAGAAACGAAACAATCACGCTATCATCTCTACTTTAATACCAAAGCTACGCGCTTAACAGCACACTTTAAAAGTGTAACCGTTTATTCAACCATTTTTAGTATCTTTCAAAAACATCTGGTCTCTTTCGCTTCCGCACGATTTTTCCCTCTTTTCCGGTCAACTGACAGACCTGTAAGTTCCAAATAATTTTAATCTAAAAAATCCGAAACCCACAATTACCAATCAACTGCAATAAATGTGAAAAGTGACCGATATGTGTTGGAATTAAAAGAAAATAAACCTATTGATGGGCGAATGTGGAGATTTACGTGAAAAAACGCTGCCCAAAAATGGCAACCAAAACAACTATAGAAAATATGTGGGAATACTAAACAACAAACGTAGAATGGACGGTTTTTGAGTTTATATGGTTAAAATTATGAACATTTAGTGTTTTTGCAATGAATTTACTAACTTTGTGTCCGTTTCTCTCTATTTTCATGCAACCAACAAAACAACAACACCAACATTTACATCGATTGAAGTAGCAACCGCCAAGATGAGGAAAATTATGAAGCAGGGCAAGATCGTAATCGTCCTTAGCGGACGTTACGCTGGTCGCAAGGCCATCATCGTCAAGACCTCCGACGACGGCACCCCGGAGAAGCCTTTCGGCCACGCTCTGGTTGCCGGCATCGATCGCTACCCGCGCAAGGTTACCAAGAAGATGGGCAAGAACAAGCTGAAGAAGAAGTCCAAGGTTAAGCCCTTCCTGAAGAGCCTTAACTACAACCATCTGATGCCCACCCGCTACACCGCGCACGACATCAGCTTCGAGAAGCTGTCGCCCAAGGACCTTAAGGATCCCGTCAAGCGCAAGACGCACCGTTTCCAGACCCGCGTCAAGTTCGAGTCCGTCTACAAGGAGGGCAAGAACAAGTGGTTCTTCCAGAAGCTGCGTTTCTAAGCTGGATTTTCTGGTGTCTGGATTCCCGTCGCTTTTTTTAAGGTTTAAATAAACAAAGAAGTAATTCTGATAAAACTGACCGAATCCTGGATTGTGCGTGTTCTTTCTGAGTGTTTAAGTGGGGCAAGTGTGCCCATGGAATAATATAAGTGGATGCAGTGAATTTCAGGCTGGGTTCAGGAAGAGTTTTTGATTCCAGACTATGTGAATACCATGTTTGTATTTGTACCCAAAATGTGTTGTAGAAAAGGAACCTTTCTCAATATCAGGAAAACCTTTTGGACACCAAATCTTAATATCGAAGCTGATCAATAGTCCTGGCATCTTAGTCGAGGTGTTATTAGTGCTTGTGCCGTTCAAGAAACCGTATTGAAATGAATCTCTGGGAGCTGTAAGAGCCACAAAGTGGCTGCCTTTCCATCTTTAAAGTAGATTTTATATTTAAAAATATCAAACTAAATCCAACAATTGGGTATTAGCTTGGTTTTATTATGTCGAGTGAACGAATAAGTTGAGCATTGCGCTTTTAATATTGTATTATTTTCACTGCTTAAATCTGGGTAATACAAAATTGGCCCCCATTTATATTTTACCAATCGACGTCAGGCTAAACCCATACATTTGCAGCCCTTAAAACACATTACTTAATTACAGATTTGTCTTTGTTTTATTTTCTTTACTAATAAATATTCGAACAGAATAATACATTTTGTTTGAATCAACTTCTCAATATTATAATTTGTGTTTAGAAAATTTTAATTTACAATTTAAATATCGCTTTGATTGACTATTTTTGGGAACTATTTGCTTAGCGTTTTCTCAGGGGTGAAATCTGTTGTATTTGGGATAGGAAAATTAAATAAAAGAGAAATATGGCCCACTGCGAGGGGTATGTAAAAATAGTCAGAGTGCAGAAGAACATGGGATAGGGCCGGCAAGAAAATCTGTGAAAAACAATAGAAAAATATCGATTAATAACTGTTCTATGCTGTGATTTAATATATATAATATGTGTAGTCTATATTTAGATTTTTCATTACCTGATTTATCACACTTTGACATCATGAATGAACACACAATGGACATTTAGCCGGGATAACATATTTTGTTTGGGATTAAGCAGCTGATTTTTACGACCTCAAACTTTGATTAAACCGATTCTTGCGGGGCATCACATTATAACGCTTGGCTTTGGGCTAGGAGAATGTCTCAAATTGGCTTAGTTCTGGGTTAATATAATTTTGAGTTTGGTATTATGCATAGTTCGATTTGGTTTATCTTGCTGAGTTCTTGTTAGCTGGGTTGGTTGAGTTTCGGTAGTGCGATAGTAGTGCTTAAACTTGGTTGAAATAGTTTCCATGTGGCCTGCGGAGCGGTTAAGCATTTGGTTTTTGGATTTTTGTTTTTGGGAGAGGAGAGAAAACAGAATAATTTCGTTGATTAGATCTGCACGAGGACAATTTGGTTACACGTTCAAAACGAAAAAACTACATACTTGTGTACTGGGTGGTGTGTGTGTGTGTGTGTTGGTGGTGTGATCTACTGGAGCACTACTTATGACAGATAAATAACAGAATAGTTCAACGAAGCATTGATAAACATAAAGGTGGGTCTAGTCTTCATATAGGTGAAGGTTGAACCAAGCAATTGGCAGTTTCTAGTTAAAATTTAAATACCCAGAAAGGGTATAAGGATCATTATTTCATAGTTTTTTTTTATTACAACTGCTCGCTCATTGCTTGATTCCTCTTCAATTTAACCCATCTTAGTAAACAAACTTATGAAAGAACTAAGAAATTAGTAGTTAGGTGTAGTCTGTGGGTGTGCTAGTTGGGTTAGGACACAGTTAGGCCATGGGAGGCAACAACACTTACAGTTCTGCTGCAGTTTTTACGGTTAAAATAATACAATAACAGAGCATGAAAAATATAATACAACAAAATTGGCCTGTAACAGTGAAGTCAAGAGGGGGACAAGCGATAGATGTTTGTTTGTTTTGTTTAAAAAACTAAATAGAAAATACAGCACTCGATTGTGACAGCAGCGCGATAAAATAACATTGAAACTACTCTAAATGCAGACGATTATTTTACCAATTCACGCGCTTGGCACTCAAGATCTTGAGTATATTCTGAACAACGTCGGTACTGGAGTGGGTGCCGCCCAGATCTGTAGGGGAATAAAACGATAAAAGGCATAGAAAAGCAGGCTTAGAGATCGATATTTACCTGGGGTGCGAATGGCATCGTCGACAATGGTCTGGTAGACAGCCTCCTGGATGACATTGGCGTGCTCCTTGTGTCCCAGATGGTTCAGCATGTCGATACTGGCGTTGATCATGGCCACAGGGTTGGCAATGTTCTTGCCAGCAATGGCGGTACCAGTGTTGCGGGTGCCCGGCTCGAAAACGGCGTGCTGGACCAAGTTTTCGTTGTAAATCTTTTATAAACTCTAGAAAGACTTCTATACTCACATGATCGCCGTAGTTCCTGCCAGAGATGAGGCCAGCTCCTCCAATCAGGCCGCAAATAACGTTCGATACAATGGTGCCGTACAGATTGGTCATGTTCATCACGTCGAACTGGTGGGGATTGGACACGGCCTGCATGCAGGTGTTGTCGATGATCATATTGTTATGCTCCAGCTCGGGATAGTCCTTGTGCACACGGTTGGCCACCTCCAGGAAGAGGCCGTCGGACAGTTTCATGATGTTGGCCTTGTGGATGGTCGTCACCTTCTTGCGGTTGTTCTGGCGAGCATACTCGAAGGCATAGCGAGCCACGCGCTCGGCGTTCTCAACGGTCACCACCTTCATGCTCTCCACCACACCGCGGACGGACTCGTGCTCCAACATGGCGTACTCGCCATCGGTATTCTGGCGGATGAGGACAACGTCGACGTTCTGGTGACGGGCCGGGATGCCTGGGTACGACTTGCAGTGCACCACGTTTACGTACAGATCCAGCTCATTGCGAATGGCCACGTTGCGCGAGACTTCCGACAGGCTCTGGGACTTGGTCTCGATGTTGCCCTTGAGCGCCACACCGTTCCTTTTGATCGAGGTGATGGCATAGTCCAGATCGTCGTTGCCCTCGGTGGAGGGATCAATGTCAATCACCTCGAAATCGATGGGGGCACCGCAGTACCGGAAGATCTCACGCACATAGCCCATTAGCTCGGGACCAATGCCGCCGCCGGGCAGCATGGTGACTCCATGGCGACCGCCATACTGAGCCGAGGGAATGTCCGTGCCCTGTGTGCATCAATGATATATAGATTTACCGATGCTATAACCTCAATTGGGTGAGATTTTCAGATGTTCTACCCACCGTCAGCTTCTTCTGCAGCGCCGATTTGGTGTGGGCCACATCCTCCGTCTTCTCCTTGGTCACCAGCAGGGGGTATCCCTGCAATTGGAAAGGACAGAGGCGATCAATGGTGGGATCTGCCACTCGCGCATTATGTAATTTCCATTTGTTGGCCAATTTTCCGGCCGTGAAAAACGTACGCGGGTGAGGAACGGCGTCTGCGTCTGCAGCAATCTCTGGGTCAAGCGAAGGGCCATGATTCTGTTTCTTTAATTTGTGTTTTCCTACGCCGCTGCAGACAAGTGCTATTTTATCGCTTAAATCACGGCCAAATTTCGCTGTATTCCACTTGGCCAAATCGCGCTTCTTCTTCGAGAACAACTGGTCGCCAGGGTTGTCGAGTGCTTGCAAAAAATAATAGTTGTATAATTATATTGTAACTTTGTATTAATTATTAGTACATTTTAGTAAAGTTAAGAGTATTAACCTAATATGTTTAAGAAAAAATTGACATTTCAGAATAAAATTGTTTTAAAAATAAAAAATACTATTTTTGATTATGTAGACAACCCTGCTCGGAACAGCTGTTAAGCGCCGCGACTGTTACGTTAACAACCACATTGACTTGCATTTGTTTATTTAACTAATTTAAACAAATATTGCCTAGCAGCATGACTTAAAGTGGACGAAAAATAAACGTTTCTAGGATATGGCAGCAGACTTAGCTCAGGACATGGCCGCTGGGTCCTTGGAAGTGAACATGCAAGAGCCGGTCACCAAGTTCACTTTTCTCCATGCGCTGGTTGTGAGTACTTAAAAATGTAATTAAATAAAACAAGTTATTAGATAACCCATTACAGGCTGGAGGCGTGGCTGGTGTGGTGGTGGACATTGCCCTGTTTCCCATTGACACGGTCAAGACGCGACTGCAGAGCGAGCTGGGCTTTTGGCGGGCAGGCGGTTTTCGTGGCATATACAAAGGATTGGCCCCGGCGGCTGCCGGCAGTGCTCCGACGGCGGCCCTGTTCTTCTGTGCCTATGAGTGCGGCAAGCACTTCCTCAGCTCGATTACCCACACCAAAGATTCTCCTTACGTACACATGGCAGCGGCCTCGGCAGCCGAAGTGGTGGGATTACTTGGCCAACAGGATCCTCTTTATTGAATTAATAATTTATTATCTTCCCTAGTTGGCCTGCCTGATTCGCGTGCCCGTGGAAATTGCCAAGCAGCGTTCCCAAACCCTAACGGGGCACAAACAGCAGCTGTCCGGCCTTCAAATCCTGCTTCGTGCCTACCGCACAGAGGGCTTAAGACGCGGTCTTTATCGGGGCTTTGGCTCAACCATTATGCGGGAGATACCCTTCAGTCTGATACAGTTCCCGCTGTGGGAGTACTTTAAGCTTCAGTGGACGCCGGTGACGGGCTACGAATCTACGCCGATTTCGGTAGCTCTGTGTGGAGCCGTTGCCGGTGGCATTTCCGCAGGTTTAACCACGCCCCTGGATGTGGTCAAGACGCGAATTATGCTGGCCGAAAGAGAGAGCTTGAATCGAAGACGGAATGCCTATAGCATTCTTCGTGGCATTTATGTGGAGCGAGGATTTAGCGGGTAATTATTGAATTGATCACAAAAGCTGTCTTGTCTTTGTTTACATTTATTTTTATATGTAAGGATTATATGTATTATATATATTTTTATGCTATTTTTCAGTCTGTTTGCTGGTTTTGTGCCACGAGTGCTGTGGATCACGCTGGGCGGTGCCTTCTTCTTTGGCTTTTATGACCTGACGACGCGACTCCTGGGCGCCGCCAATACTGATCACTGATCATTAAAATAGGGCTATTTTCGTTGTACTTGTAGTAGAGGCACTTGTGCAGTTTGCAGTAATAACCAAACCAATGACAACCACCGATGTGGACAATAAATGGGATGAATGGAAGTCTTACGAGAGGCAATACATCATTTTTGGCTAGGCCCTATTAGGCTGTGGATTATGAGGGATTATAAACTGATCAAACATCATCAACACCTCACTCACGTCCTCGATGTGCAGGCGTCCCACAAGCAAGCTGGCTGCCATGTGGTCATCCCCCCACTCATCCCCACAGGCCATGGGCACATCCGAGTCCTCCTCATCCACGTTGATGTAGCCGTTTCGTGGGGCCTTCCTACAGCCCAGGTAGTTGCAGGAAAACCGGCAGCGGGTACGCGACATGACGTAGACCTGCGGACACCCAAATACATAAATTAAGCGCAAGCAAATGCACTTGAATAAACAAGCAACGACGATAAGAAAAGTAACGTACCAGAGCTGCTAGAAAGAAAATGCCAACAAGCACGGCAATAGGCAGCCATATGTATTGGGCGTCATCGGGATGCAGGATGTCGGTATCTGGAACAATCGTGGTGGGGTCCGACTCCAAAAACATTGTAATAAAAGCTTAATCCCCGAAAACGTTCAAGTTCCAAAGAAAGGATTTGCGCTCATATACAAGTGGTGGCCTATATATATATCGATATATCGATGCTAAAAATTTAAACGATACTATTGCAAAAATAAAAACATCGGCTTATCGATATTAATAATCGAGGTTATTACACCTCTGGATTTTTCATTTCCGTAAATTTAGCCGGGATTTTTGACTACAGGAAATGAGTGCACAAACAATATTGGATGAAAATAGCAGTTAAATAAAATAAAGATAACCACAAATGGATCCGCTACTGCTAGAGCAACAGAAACCTCAAATGACCAGTGTATGGGCAGAGAGTCCTGTCAAACTAGTGTCCCCAGAAGTCTCATTTCCAGGCTCTGTTCCTATTTTTGGGCTACAAAGCAGCTGCCGCCTATGCCTGGAAGAGCCCCATCCCAGGCAAATGCTGGACATGACCGTCATCTACGACCTTGAGGCGGGATTGAGCTACTATGACTGCTACGAGATCTGCACCAAGGAAGATCTGCTTCAGAGTCCCAGTCACGAGCCCAAAAGCTTATGCAGCCGTTGTGCCGTGGAGCTGCGGTGGGCCTATGAATTCCACAAGAAGGTGGCCTACGCTAATCAGCAGTTGCGGGAGATATTAGAGTCCATAAAACCCGACGAAGACTTGGCAGAACAGGAACTAGAACTAGAGCCGAAACATGGTGAGGCTAAAGATCAAATGGCTGAAATGAATGAAGAGTACTTGCTGGAGGATAGCAGGGAGGAGGCAGACCTGGAACATGTTACCTTTCAGGAGGAGCCCCAACTTGAGCAGGTTACCGTTGGCTTTGCCACCCTGGAGAAAATCGCTCCCAGCCAGCGCTACAAGGGTAAATTTAATTGCGATTTCTGCCAAAAGGAGTTCCAGAATCATTCCCGCATGGCCAAACACCAGGCGATTCACCTGACCGACCGACCCCAGTTTCCCTGCAAGCACTGCAACAGGTCCTATCTCACCAGACGGGCTCTCAAGGTGCATGTGGACGACAAGCACATGCAGTCTGGAGTCTCTTGTGACATTTGCGGCAAGGTCTTCTCTATAGCCAAAGCTTTGGAGATCCACAAAAGATATCACACGAAAGAGTTTCCTTTTGCCTGTGATCTATGCGAACGAAAATTCGCCCAACGCTCGCACCTGAACGTCCACAGGCAGGTGAAGCACACAGGATGTCGGTTCATTTGCGAATTCAGCGACTGCCGGAAGTCATTTACTTCGTCTACGTCGCTAAGGAATCACGAATGGACGCATACGGCGATGCCATTCGAGTGTTCCGACTGTCAGCAGAGTTTCCCAGCACGCAACAAGTAGGTTTCTGATTTGATTTAATAAAAGAAAAGCCTTGACTAATGCCTAATCCTATTTCAGACTGCGAGTGCATCTGGAAAGGAAGCACAAGAAGCAAGTGGATGTGGAGGAGCTGGAGGGGATGCGCAAGTTTCACATTACGCGCTCGAAGCTGGTTCTGGCAAAGATAAATGAAAAGGAAGGCTAGTAATGGGGCTTCGTTATTTTGCTTTTAAATATATATTTCTATAAGTTGGAGTGAATAAAATAAGAGCTTATAATCGGGGCTGAGGTGTTGATAATAATATTGATTAAGTTATTAAATAATTAATAATAATAAGAAATAATTAAAAATGTGTCATTGGAATCCAAATTTTCCACTCCATCTCTCCCTTAATAAAACCCTCAACTTGCCTTACAAATATCACATTCAATTTATTTTCACGTTTTCCTTTGGTTATCTTACACGGATTAAGGTTAGACAGATATATAGATATTCGATATCATAGACAAAATAAATGCTGATACCAGATCAGTTTGGTATACAAGTTTTATCCTCCTTCTAGCTCTAACCAGACAACCTCCTTCAGTTCCCCAGGGTAAGGGCCAAGGGCATAGACTTGGCTGTAGAGTCGTCTGGATGCTGGGAGGAGGCGGTGGCCGTGCCCGTAGTAGTAGTAGCCACATTGGTATTACCTGCTTCAGTCCGCTTCCTGGAGGTAATCTTCTTCCAGCCGCGCAGAAAGATCTGATTTCGATACTTTGGAGTGGTAAATGTGTACAGCAACGGATTAACGGCCGAGTTGAGGGGCAGCACAAAGACCACCAGCCAGGCGTAGATGTCATCCGAAATATTGTAGTTAAAAAACACCCAGATTTTCATCACAATTATGGGAACCCAGCACAGAAAATCGGTCAGCACGATAAAGAAGAACCGCACCGCAAACTCGCAATCCAAGAGTGTTAGCGGAGTGGCACTTCGCGTCCGCCAGATGGAGATCAAAAGAGCCGTGTATAGCAGAGCAATCATCAGCAGCAAAAGAAGATTAACGCCCAGGAAGACGAACGCCGAGTATAGCCAGCCCATAGGATAGGCCTCGTGTATGTGCAGGGGGAAACAGGTGCCGGAGTACGAGCCGTAATATGGCAGAGTGCTCGAACGCCAAAGGAAGACCGGCACCACTGCCAAACCCACGCCAGTCATCCATATGCAAAGCATGGCACACCACATTACCCGGCTTCCAATGCTGCGGTGGCCTCGAAAGGGATCGGCAATCAGAAGGAAGCGTTCAAGCGACATAAATGCCAGGATCAGCATAGACACCTCCGAGGAACTCACAGCCAGAGTGCCGATGAGTGTGCACTGCCAAGAGGTGATCCAGTCCAGCAGAACTCTGAAAGATAAGGATAATAAAGGTAAGCGTAAGGATATATGTATGTTTGTACTTCCCACTTACTTGTAATACTCATTCCGGTAGCGATAATCCTGCACCCCAATAGTGACCAGATAGAAACCCATCAGCATATCGGCCAAGGCCAAATTCCTTATAACCATCGTTACAGCCATGTTCTCGTCCCGGTATATAAAGCGACCCCAAAGCACCAGGACATTGCCAGCTATGGTCAAAGTGGCCATCACCCAGGCGGAGTATCTTAGAACAGGTTTGCTCAGCAGATCCTGAAAGGAGCTAACCCCATCGGTGGAAGGCTTGCACATCCTTATTCGCGGCGACATGGAACAGTAGAAGAACCTATCATAGATGATGTACGTCAAGTTTCGCATGGAATTAATAACCGCAAAGTCGATGTGATCATAGCGAATGCCCGTGAGATTCAGAAACGAGATGTTCAAAGGCTCCATTAGGTTACGGTGGATGTGCAGAGGCATTTGAGCAAGGGAACTACGAGAAAGGTATTATTTTTTAATGGGAATTAAAGAATTATTCAAGTAAATAATGAACAGCTTTTAAATATGTAAAAAAAAATGTTTATAAATGTATAAAATCAGGCTTGAAAGTAATATTTCTATTCAATATTTTTAATAATATTTCCAACTAAATAAAGTTCACTTATTTTGCAAATAATTATAATTTCCTTAGGGTTTTTCCCACGTATAATACTCACAGTGCCTCCAGTCGAGTGTTGTGGAGAAATGTCTCGCCAGATAACTCCTTAATGGGATTACCGACAAGGCGGCTGTAAAACGAAATGCACGTCTAAGAATTATTCGTAGATATATAAGGTTACTCATACGCCGCTTAAGCCGCGCATAATGGCCCGCAGATAAGACACGTTGCCGCTTTAAAGAACAATAATAATGTTCTACTTGGCACGACTTTAAGACTAAAGCCAAAACGGAGCTTTTAAAAGTCACATAATAAAATCCCGCTGCGGAGCATAATAACGAAAATTCTTATTTAATAGCTGGCTGAGTATAAATCAGTGCACAAACATTGTCTATCAAATGTGTGTGGATGTGGATGTGGATATAGAGATGCAACTGGGGCTAAATGTGTTGTTGGCAGGAAAGGGCGCGCATCATTCATGGCAGACAGAGCAGGATGTGGCACAGTGGGGCTAGGATCCCTTAAAGAGTCAGAACTTAAACTTTCTCTTGCAGGAAAAACAAGAAATATCAGTAAGATTCTTCAGAAAAAAAAGCTAGAATAATGTTATAATATTTAATAAATTCGTTAAAAATATTTCAAGAAGTCTACAAATTAACAGACATTTTTTCTCTGTCTATAAACCGTTTACTATGAAATTATTATTATTATTATTATGTTTATCTCTTTTTGGGATAATAACTGAAACTGGAGGGTTTCCCTAGCTTCGGTTCCACCGTGTCACGTCCCTGGGAAGTGCAGCAGCTGATGTATAAACTGTTGGCTGCTGCTGCTGGATACGTGGAACTGAATCCGATGGCGATGGTGATGGCTATGTCGGAGCTGACGTTGAGCTCTTGCTTAGAGCTCCATTGCTTGCACTTGTCTGGTCAATCAATGCCGCCAATGCCCAAGCGCCAACTGTTAACAGTTTGTTTTTATGGATTGTCGCACAAAGACAATGGCCACGCCCCCTTACTCTTTGTCCACACCCACTTCCACTCTGTCGTTGAGCTTCCACAGATTGCTGGTAATTGCAACGCCATTTTTCGTGGCCTGAGGATTCCGTAAACTAAATATTTAACTCGGCCACAAATTGAGCCGTCGAAAAATGGGTCCATCCTCGTTGAGCGTATAATTTTTATTATGCAAATTTCTAATTAATTATTGAGGGACAGGCCTCTCGGATCTGGCTCTGGTCATTATTTTTGCCGAAGCCCGCACTTAATAACTTCATAAATATCCCTGGGAAGCCAGACATATTAACATATTTCCCGGGACAGGCAACAAGTTGCTGCCCCTTCTATGGGATGGTGGTGATGGTCAGCATCCAAATAAGCCCCTGGTAATGCCCATTTGCCATGGACGAGCACATCCAGCGCCCACCGCACACACACGTGGCTCCTCCAGCCACGTACATAACTGCGTCAGAATTGAAAAAGGGAGCAGGGGCGGTCAATGCGCATTTAAGGATAGGGTAAATAATTGCTTGTAGTTGTCGTAGCCCGCGCTACGTGCAAGGTGCAAAAAAAAATTACAAATGATGAAGATTCTGTTAGAGCTGAAATACCATTTGAATACTCTTTCTGAAATATTTTAGAAACTTAAATTAATTTTCTATTTCTTGCTAAGATCATGTTTTAAGTTATATTTTTATTCAGAAACTATTTTGGTCTAATATTAATGTATATAACGATTTTTTAGAACCTTCCCAGTTGCCCACATACTTTTTATTTATTTATTTATTAAGTCAAATAAAATATTTCCCAAGTTATCAGCAAACCAAACCTTAACAAGTCTCCTCATCTTCATAAAAACATCATCCTTTATATCCACATAAAATTCCCTTCTTGTTGCACCTTCCCCATGATCATTACCATAATTAATTCCCACCTGTTGTTGGCCTATTCAAAGTACCCGCGTTCTAGCGACGAGTGCATAATATTAACCAAATGAAACCATTTACGGGCTCCCTTGCAAATGGCACGTTTCAATTGTGAATTCTTTCGGGGCAATGTGCCCGCCAGGATTTAGCTCCGGCATTTGTGGCGCTGTCCTTTCTCTACCAGCGGGGGCGGGGACTGATGTTGACCATAATTAACGTCACAGCAACGTGGAGACACACACACACCGGACTTGAGGGTCTGCGCAGCCCCGTATCTCTGCAATCCGTAATGACCTGTCAGTGGCTTCAGTGGCTCACTGGATGACAGGAGGAATCAAATTAGTGCAGCGATTTCTCAAATATTTCGCTTTGGGTTGTTTTATGTCCAAAACCAAAAACCTCGAGGGGATATCGAAAAAACAAAACAAATCAGCAGAAATTGCTGAAGGAAGGACGGCAGCAGCAGATACATGAGCAGCATTTAGATGCGTATCTGATAGATACAAATACAAAGTGGCGATAGCGAAGGAATTTCTGTGCAGTTCCTTTGGGATGATGCACCTAGAGAAAAACTGTAATGAGGGCTTTTTTATAACCTAAACTGTACAATACATTTTATTTTATAAAATGAATTCCTAAATAAATGAGTTGTTAACAAAATATTTGGAATTAATTTATCACACTAAAATTTTTAAGAAATAAAGTTTACCTAGAAACTAACTAAACTTTCCTTGGAATATAATTAAGTCTCGCTTCTGTATATATAGAGTTATAATACAAATTTAATCCTTCTTAAGGATGTTTAAAGCTCCTTGATTTCTCTTTGTGTGCCCATAAAAGACTTTCACTCAATGCCTGGTATGCTGAGAAATTCCTTGCACGCCAGCAAAGGGCAAATTATTTGCATGGTTCTGTGGGTGGGAAGGTTACTGCCTGGGTGGCTAGTGGGTGGCTCTATGTATGTAGAGAGAGGTGTCATCAACAGGCGTAAAGGATCCACAGCTGGAGGGGGAGGCGAAAGAAGAGGATATATGGAAGGGGTCGAGCATCTAATGAAGCAATGACGATTGGGGAATACCGCCCCGAGTCGATTTCAATAAACTCCTTCATTATTGGCCAAACAACTTGGCCCCAGAGTTGGTTACAGTTACTGGTTACTGGCCAAGGCTTTGGCGAAATTGTTTTCACATAAAATACAAATTTATTTGCATTTTTATTTGGCCATAATAATGTTTGTTTATTTGTTGCTCCGGCTGCTGCTGCCGTGGCCACAAGTCAAACCCATTCAATGCTGCCGTCCCAAAAGATACAAAGTCTGAATTCCTTCACCCAAACCGGTCGGTCAAGCAGCAGTGTTGTGCCTGTTATCATCCTTGATATGCTGATGTATCTGCTGGTTGAGGCTGGGGAAAAATTTATTAAGGCCACAGCTTGATGCGCTAGTAGACGATGGATGTGAAGATGGCAGAGACATTTATTGAATATGCCATTGATATATGGTTATGAAAGTCAGAAAGCAAACATCAAATTCCTATTTCCAGCCAGCCAGCGGTTAAAGAAAACTTAAAGGCGCTGCTGCGTCTTATCGAGCATACGCCATGTTGTCTGAGACTCATCAAAAGTTCTTCCTCAAAGCGTTAAACAATTTGTTGTGCTTTTACGACTGCCGTTTATAGATTGGCCCCCTTGCTTTAGAGTTGTAATAATAATAATAAACTATGGCCATAAAGGTTAGATTAGTTGGCCCCAAGGCTTAAACTTTTTATGTCGACGAGCGTGGTCGAAAAACTTCATAAAAATATTTGCATTCAATGGAATTAAAGGGAGATCAGAAGAGCATTTCCCTTCTTCTAGTTGGGGTTTCCCCTTGTTATTATTTATCTGTCTGCGGGCGCAAAAGTTTTCAACTTGAATTCTTCATTCCGTATACGTAATTGCGCATTAATGAACTGAAATTAATATCATTGAATATGATTTTGAATCACAAAGGGCGCTTGGCTAGTCGGAATCCTTTGCCAAATTACAATTTACTGCAGGGAGGACATTCCTGGGGCTTTGTGTTGATTCTTTGACCAGGGCTCGAGTTCATTTACTTTGTGTCCTGACATTATTCGTATTATTATGCTAATTAGCTGTGTGTCCCCGCCATAATTCATGCTTAGTGTCGGTGTTAAGTTTTCACTCCACCCCAGTTGCCTGTGAGATTTAGAATAGAATTCTAAGCCTACCCCCTTATTTATACTCACATATCTCGCATATTGGTTAAGTTTGCAAAGGCTCGGCCATGGATATGGGTGATGAGGTTATGCTGGAGATCCCTGAAATTTAGTATATATTTTTGTAATTTTTGTTTAGCTTCAGCAAATATTATCTCGTTTTCGTGATTTGTTTAATTGATAAAAATAATATAAATATTAAAAGTACGAGCCAGAGATATTCTTATGATTACGATTATCTTTAGCCATAATTTACATCGACCAAGGTGCCCTGTGATTCCCCTTGAACTACCCATATGCTTGCTTTTCAAATTACCAGATAAATTGCCGACTCAAATATTGCGACACAATTTATCCCATCTAAGTCTCATCACTTCATTCTTTTTTTCTATCTGCCAAGGCCTCTAAAGGTTAACACATTTATTTACGTTGGGGCAATTTGGGTAACTGATTTATTTTCAGTTAGCAGCGAGGCGACACAGGCACCCCAGACGACCCATTGACTTATATTGTCAGCTATTGATGCATAAATTAATGATTATGTATGCCCCCAACCGTGCCAGTCAAAGCATTTACAAGGGAAACGGGGCTGGCTGACATGTGATAAATGCTTTCAAATTGTTTTACGTGTCAGTTTTTGGTCTACTTTTTAAGGTATTTACTTTAAAAGTCATATTTAACAAACAAAAGCCTATACAAAAAATAAAAATTAAAAAATAATAATATTTAAAATAAGAGTATTTGAGTCTTCGGGGTTCCTTTTTTTTCTGATACTCCTCTTTTAAGCATATGTTTATTTGTGTAAACAATAAAATGTGCCAATTTATGATTATTGAAGCATAAATTTGTTTTTTGGGCTGTGTTGGACCGAAAGGTGTCGATGTATCGAATATCCTATGTGCTGTCATGTCAACAGTGCGTATACGCAATATCCCTTCTCGTTCTCTTACTCGACAGCTCTCCCTTTTTCACTGTCTCAGCATCAATGTTACCCACATAAATCTCTCAAAATAAACAAGTAAAAAAAAACCAACAACAAATCCTGCGAAAACGAAAGCAAAATGCAACGAAGAGTAAAAATTACGCATACGCCCCATAAAATCTAAGTACAACATATTTCAATAGATTTTTCGACACTTTTTCTGGCTTTTCTTGTACTTTTTTTCAACTTCTTTGTACGTTTTTGTGTGTTGAGAAGGGAAAGTTAGTTGATTGTTTTACTTACAGCAAATGTAAATTATCCAATTGCGAAAAAGTTTCCTCGCCAATGTATTCGATTCGATTGAAATCCAAATAACTGTAAAAGGAAAGAGATATTTATGCAGGCAGGGCCAAGCAACAATCTGGTTAAGCCGCAGGGCCTAGTGTTTAGCTTATATATTTCTGGGGTTTTTATACTAAGACTGGTCTTAGGACTCCTTTCGTTGGTTTGAGGAAGGGCAAGTGATGAATGTAGCCTGAGCAGATTTAAGATAAAGGTTGCTTAAAGTGTTGGGGAATAACTTTAAGACTTCTGTGTAAATAGAGAACTTCAATAGCTTAATGATAAACATTGTTGTCGAGCAAGTTCGAAGGTGATGTCTTAAAATTCAAAGCATAGAAACCAGAGACTATCAAAAGCACACTTTAAACCCTAAGTGAGTGCAACACAACATTGTGCCAGTTCTTAGTCCTCCTAGCTTAGGGCACATCGTTGGGTGGCGTGGTTGAGATATCAGGACACCCAATACCCGAGTAACCCAATGAGCGGGGGCTCCGGCGGCTTTTAACAATGCCAGAGACTCAGAGAGAGCGCATTTCACGCTTGAATACATCAGCAAAACGTCCACAGACTCTCGTCGAATCCCTTTCGCTTTTTAATCTAACAAATAGAACATAAGCTCGAACCCCAATTCCATTTACTCACACTTCGTATAGCGACGAGATTTTCGGCAGCTGCACATTGCGCAGGGTGAGGCGATTTCCGCTGAGCACTAGCCACTCCAGCCGGTGGACGGACCGCAGCTGATCCATGGGCAGGTATTGCAGGTTATTGTTTTTGAGGAAAAGCCATTGAAGGCTGTGCAGGCCCAGAAAGATGCCATTCGGCAAATGGCTGATGTTGTTGTGGCTCAGCTCCAGCCTCTCCAGCTGTCCGAGGCCATTGAAGCTGCCCAGCGGCACACGTGATATGTTGTTGTACTTGAGCGTCCTTCAAGAAAGTTAAAATAAATAAACTAACTAACTCTTCCAAATAAATAAACTAAAAAACTAAAAATAATGTTATTGATTTACTAACAGTTTTTGTAGTCGCGTAAAATTGGCAAAAATATTTTCGCGGAGAGTCAAATTGTTACGGATAATGATCAGATAGGTCACCTCCGAACTGATGCGAGGCCAACGACGCAGCTTGACATAACGGCCGCAATAGAGGATTGTTCTTTGCCGGCACTGACAGGGACGCGGATATGTGACGATATCTGGGGGATTTCAAGGTAAATAGTGGAAAATATTTTTATGTTTTTAGTTAAATAAGTATCTATGTATATTCCCTTTGTAATTGTATTCCACACTCACCACAAGTTTGATTCTGATTCCTTAAAGGTGATAAATCCAGGCTACTCACATTCACGCCCGCCGCAATTGTTCGCTGGTTCATCTGCTGTTGCTGCTGCTGCTGTTGCTTCTTCTCAATCGCATTACGGACTATCTTGTCGGCAATCTCCTTGCTGCCATAGAGCAGACCGCACTCCACCGGATGCTCGTCACTGCTGTCGGCGCAGTCCGGCCGGCTGTCGCACATCTGGCGCTGAGGAACGCACAGCGTGCCATTGTCGCAGGCAAAGCTGCCCGTGGGGCAGGGCCCTAAACAAAAAAATAATCAACAAGAGAACAACACAAGTATTAGAAAAATTACACAAAATAATCAATCTAGAAGGAAGATTAAATTGGCTTTAGTTTTAGTTCAGTTATTTTATGACCAAACATTGATTATTAAAATCTAAAAAATTTTAAAGGTTCTTTAGGTCTATTTTTTATAAAAAATTCCTTTAGAAAAATATCTTCAAGTGTACCCACTTTCATTCCGTTAAGTCCTTGATCACTCTAAACAAACTTTTGACTTCATATGGGCCACACGACGTATGAGTTATTATTCTAATCTCTGTCAGACAAACTTTAAACTCAAGATGACAACTTAATTTGTTCGCCCGCTCTTTTCCTTTCCTCCAATCTCACAAAGGATTTCGGTTTATTGTTTGCTTCTGTTTTTTTCGGTCATGACAATTAAACTTAATGTCCAAAAACTTTGTCCTGTTCCTTGCTTTATTTTTGAGATTTTCAGCTTTGTTAGCAATATGTTTTTCAAGCATTACAAGTGCCATGAATCGAAATAATGGCATGAAACCAATTAATATCATTTGTATGTGGGAAAAGTGAGAGAAGTAGTATATCTTATTATAAGTTTTAATTTAGCCAGAATACATTTTCAGCCTGAGTGCCTACCACTTTTTTTGAAGGGTAATTGTCGTAAAAAGAAAATGAGAGTTTTGTTTTGCATTCCAACATTTTTATGATTTGTTTGGGTGCCGAGATTTCTTTCTGCGAAATTACGAGATGATGGAATATAGTTCATTAGACAAATGAGCTTAAAAGAAGCACCTTGAAACGATTTTAATCAATTAACTAAGATTGCGTCAAAAAAGTTGAGTTTAATTGGATTGGCTTTATTTATTTCTCATCAAGTGGATTTCAAATAATAAAATGTTTCTTAGTAAAAATGCTTTTCTTTGATGGGGATTAAATTGCATTCATATATATTTTTGCTTTAGAATTCACAAGTTATTTCTTTTTAGAAATGAAAGTTTATTTGGAAGGCTTTCCTCTGTTCTCATGAGCACTTTGCTTTTAAATTGTAGAAAAAATTAAACAAAGCCGCTTTAAAGGAGAAGTGAAAATGTCAAGTGTCAACACTTCCTGCGGAAATATTTGTGCATTTCCCCTGCCTAAGCACCCAAGAGCCATATGATACACATAAAACTGCATATATATATATTTCTTCATCTCTTTTCCCATTCGTATAAATATCCAACTTCGTTAGGAAGGACATACACACATAAAGGCACAATGTGCATTAAGCAGGACTTTCAATTTCATTGTGTCTATGACAGGGACACACATAAACACAAATCTTAGCATTCTATACCCTGTTTACACCAAAGAAAAGGAGCCCCTTTTCTCTGCCTGATTTAAAGCTAAGCCGAACAAATGTTCCCTGGCAAATAAATAATTTCTCAGCTCAGCTTAGACTGATGCATATACTTGGGAAACCGAAGCTACAAAATGGCATAAATCAAACATGTTTTGCCTATTTCTTTTCGTATGGCAAATCAATACGCAAATTGGCATAAAAAATATCTAATATTAAGGCAGCGCAAATTTCTCGATATTGATACTCGTAAAACAAGATAAAAGCTTCGAACAAGGAACCAAAAAACACCAAGGACCGACCACCAACGTACATATACTACGTACTTATATAGGGATGTGCGAAAATTGTTTTGTGTGCTCTCCTCGCAGGACAAAGTTTGCGCTGTACTCGTATGTATATTTTTTATGGTCAGCCGTTTGTTGTTTTTGCTCAGCCCCTTATTTTTATCGTATTAAACAACAAAATTACTTTCAAATACTTTTGAGTATAAAATTTATGGGAATTTTGCAGTTTGAAATTTGATTTTGGCTTGATGTGGAAGGAGAAGGCTTTCTTAGAAGTTCGTTCGGTTGACAGATGGGAAAATCATTTATAGATGAGATTTAAAGGGTTTTATTTGTGAAAATTAAATAAATATTTGTGCCATCTTAGAATTTCTCTTTAATATTTGAATTATTTAATATAAATACTCTCTCTATCAAATCCTTACAAGAATATTTTTTAATTTTTTAAATTTATTATGCAGATCACTTACCCAAACTCAAGTAGAATATCACGGCGGCTAGCAGGAGGACGACTGTCATCAGGCAGACGCCCACGGCGATGCTTCTTCCATAGACCATTGCGATTTATCGGTTTGGACTCGGCTCACTCTTGGTCGCTTTGTTTTCGAAGCTCGCTTATCTAATTACTTGGCCAGCGTGGCTGCACTGGCTCCTTGACCGAGTTCATCATTAGCACCGCTCAATTCCCACTCCGGCCACGCCCCTCACTCACTGCAACACCAACGCCTTGCTGACTCATTGAGTTTTTATATTATTATTATTTCTTATATCGTTTCGTTTCGTCTTTTTTTTTTTTTTTTTGCTTGTGTTGTTGCTGTAGCTTTTTCGTTAATTTCTTGTCACTTCATTTGGCTAATGTTCGCAGCTCGTTGAGAAGAGTTTTAAGTGCCAGGATTACACAGCAGATGGAGCGGAAGAAGATACCGGGTAGGGGGGTTGTTCAAAATTAATATTTTCTATGGCAAATGCTTTCCACTTGGCGGGGTTTCGATTTCAGCGTGCAAAAAAGTGTATTTGATGTGCATAAAAAAGGAGAATGAATGGCCATTTTGATGGACAAGCTAAAGTTTCGCGAGAGCGAGAGATTACAGTGACATTATATTGACAATTATTTTGGGAATTCCAACGAAATATATTGATTTTCGCTGGCGGATAAAGTTGAGAGTGATTAAAGTCAGTCGCTGAATATTAAAGTTACCCAGGATTTGCTGTCATTGTCATTGAATTTATTTTTTGGGAAAGTCCTCCCAAATGCAAACTATAATTTTGTATAAATTCTTAAAGCTTCTTGTTTAAGATGTTAAAAACTAAAAACTAATATACAAATATTTGTTAAATTTCAGCAAATAATATTTTTAGTTAACTTTAAGTAAACCAAATTCCTGTTAAATAATTTCAATTCATCAGAAACAGAAATCCTGCGAAATAAATGGTAAGAGAATGCCATAAAATTGTTTCATATATATTTATTTCCCCCGCCGAGTCTGACCAAAATAAAGTGAATAATTTCAGATGTGAGTCAACGCCGAAAATCATTGGAATCCATGTCATATGTTTCTACTTTTAAGTAGCCACTTTTATTTCCTAATTTATGCAAGACATTAAGGCCCAAACTCAAGGTTATTAAGTTTGCCAAATGTACTACGAAATGGAAGTGCAATATGTGACCGGCACATTTGTTGGCCCCTTTTTTTTCTTCTGCGACATTTCATCCGTGGCTGATTAAATTTCGCTTAATTGAATCGGAGATGGGGGATGCTGCCCCGGCGGGCTCAAGGTCAGCCGGAGACAAATCATAATTTCCGCAAAAGGTCACAAGTGCTCTTTCCCGGAATGCGTGTGATCCTGGGACTCTCATTATCGCAATCATCGCAATTGAACAGCATTTGGTGTGGAAAAGTGCCATAAAAAGGAAGACTATTTGTTCCCCCTTTTTTTTTTTGCTGCTGGGCCACTTAATGCTCCCTTGACCACTTTGTAGATTGTGTCAATGCGATAGGTCGCCCCAACAAACAGACCTTTCTTCGCCCTGTTTAGTTTCCCTTTTGTGGGACACTTTCACTGCCCTATTAAGTAGGCAACGCACTTTTGAAAACCGAAAGTAGCGCGCGTTTCACCGGAATAAGTTTTCTTCTGTCTATTCTTTTGGGAAAATAGAACCTAACACGTCCGAGCACAGCGGCCAACTGAAGCTGGTGACAGCATTTGTTGCTGATTTTGTTTTGCTCCGCAGAGGAAAAGCGGCAGCGCAGCAGCAGCAGAGCAGCTTCGGCTTTTCGTCCCTTCGGCTGACCGCCGTGGCGTAGTCCTTTGAGCTGCTGTGGCTTTTCCTTCCGGACACACATACACAAGGGTCCCGGGTTCGAGTCCCAGCGGTGGCAAGCGTTTTAGTATTCTTTCCAATTTCCATTAAAGCAACTGTTTATTTATGTATTTTGAGATGTTTGGTGGAGTTTTCATATTGAAAATAGCTTTAGAAGGTGGATCATTTTCAAATCTATTGAAAATAATTGAAATTTTAAAATTAGAGTTTAAAAAAATCTGCAAAAATTCTAGTGTTTTTGTAAAATTAAGTTACTTAAAGCTTCAAACTTCCCAAAGTCCAAACTAAAATCAAACCTTGTAATAAAAACAACCACTTCTTTTAAGTTTTAAAGAAAAAAATCATAAAAATGTATTTATTAGCTAATTAAATACAATGCAGTTAGAATTTGTTCTACAACGTTTTTGTTTTTTTTTAGTTTTATATGTAATAGTAGTTTATATTATTGCATAAATTGCATTTCGGTTGGTGTTGCTCTTGCGTTTGCATTATCAATTTGTAAAATTAATTAATATTGCTAATTAAAAACAGAATACACTGAAGCGACCTATGGTGTTGTTGTTGTCTGCAAGATCTGCATGTTTAAGCCAATGTATGTCTTATTTTTCAATATCCGGTGGCTAAGGCTAAACACTTTAAAAGTGAAACTTTTCAACAAAGCATTGCTAGTTTTTAATATTTGTTTGCTAAAGCTGCGCTAATTGCTAAGTACGTTTAAATACGTTTGTGAATTCTATAATGAATTATTTATTCTGTGGGAGACAATCACTAAGTGCACTACTTAAATGTTAAAAAGGCGTTTCAAGTTTCGTTTTACTTTCGAATTATTGCAACAATTTAAAGTTCCAACTAATGGCGAATTGCGGGAGATTGGAAGGGGTTTGTTTTCTTCTCTTTTTGTTTACATGTGTAGACTAGCAACAAAGATTAAACAAAAGTATATAGCACACATAATTAAAATTAGGGGAATGTGATAATGGAATCATCATTAACTACAATAAAATACAAAAGTACTGTGCAGTGGGTGTTCGTGTGTGTTTTGTGTAAAAATTTGTAACATTTATCATTCCTTTTGAGAGATCCATAGAGTGTAATTGGAAAGTAAGCAGCACTAAGCTTAATCTTGACGCTGATTGCTTGTAAATTTGTGATATTCATATGGAATTAATTTGGATTTAACTCCATTATGCTTTCAGGATATGTGTTAATCAATTTTTGTTGTTCCCAAAAAACGTGATTTCTAGAAGGTGGAAATATAGGCTTAGAAAAATAGTTTCGATACTCCAAGTGTGACTGCTGCTTAAACCCAAACGCCATGGGGATTTTTACTGGTCGGTACCGCCGTCTCCAGTTGCCTGGGCGAACCGATGATCCGACGACTGCTGCCCTGCTTATTGCCAGGTGCTGCCTGTCCCTCCAGCAAATGCTTGATCTCCTCGGCTGTGGTGGTAACGGTCAAACTCTGCAGGTTCACCTCCTTCATCTCATTGACCAGCTGCTCAACCTGCCGCTTCTTCTCGGCAATGGCATGTTCAATCATTAGCAGCTCCTTCTTCAGGCTGTCGGCTGTTTTGTTTGATGTATCCGTGTTGTGCAGCGCCTGATCAATTTCGCTCTGTATCCTCTCCATTTCCATCAGGAAGTCACGCTCCACCGTTTGTCTATGGAAATTTATAAAATTAAAATATGAAACGGGTAAAAAAAACAGTATTTAAACTAGCAGAGAAAATATCAACCTATAAATCGATATTTTGCTTCATAAATTTTGGACAAATAAATAATATTCTTAATTTAAAACTCACCGATTTGCATGCTGCTGTTGCTGCTGCTCCAGCTCTATGTCATCCATCAGCAAACGCATCTTATTCTTGCACTGCAACAGTTCGGTCTCACAATTAGCCAACTTGGAGCGTAGCAGGGCAATTTCCGACTTTAGGGTCTTCTCCTGCTGCTTGACCAGTTCATTCTCCTCCTCCACATATTGCAGGGTCTGAAGCTGTTCGCTGCCCTGCCTGAAGATTTGATCTGCCTTGGAGATCTCACGCGATATGGCCTCTAGTTCATGGGCGTGGTCTCGTTCTTTGCTTTCCAAAAACACTATTTCAGTGTCGAACTAAAGGAGAAAGGGATTTAATTAGCCATCTAATTGCTATTATTTTTATATTATACTCACCTTTTGCAATTCCATTTGTTGGGCTGTGATCTTCTCTCGCTGGAACTTGATTAACTGCAACAAGTCGTTGTACTGCGTGGCCTGGAACATGCTCTCGCCCTCCTCCATGGCCTGGCTACCGTTATTGTTGTTGTTGTTATTATTATTGTGGTTGCTATGCTGATCATAGTCGCTGAGAAAGGGATTCGTCGAAGAAGAGGCATTGGACATGGTGTCCGCATTGCTGCTGGCCAAGCGTTGGCTCTGGCACATGGGACTGTTCCTGGGTGGCGGCGGATCACGATATGGAGGCGGGACTAGAGCTCCATTTGCGGAAATCGTTGGCGTTTGCTTGTACAGCTCCGGTGAGTTATTGTTATTGTGGTAGTACATGTCATTGCTGGGACTGGAGCGTCGGAGTTCATTGCTGGATTTGCTTAGCTGGCTGTAAATGTGCTGATTGTTGCTGTTGATATTGTTGTGGTTGTTGTTGTTGCTGTTCATGCTATTGTTATTGTAGAAATCGTTGTAGCCATTGGCAACGGTCGGCGTATTATGGCTCGTACTGGTCATGTCCAGCGGATTGGATAAGGATTTCTCATGCTTTGGCACTAGCGGCGGAACCATGTTGTTGTCCTGCGTAGGTATCTGCTCCTTGGTAACGAGCGGTGCGACGGCAGGAGCCACCAATGTGGGGGATTGTTGGGCAACCTGCTGTGGCATCTGCTGCTGTTGCTGCTGGGGAATCCCCTTGACTATACCAATGTTGTCAAACTGCTTGGCATCGTAGCCCCTGAAAGAAAAATGAGTCCAGTAAGTATTTGCAAATAATGTACTTGAAATTATTCGTTTAGCTGCAACTTTAGTTAATTTCTTAAAAAAAATAGAGAAAACAAAGGTCTCTAGTTCGATTTTTAATCAATTTATGATAGTTTTAACCAGTAAATGAGGTCAGCTAAGCGAATTAATTGATCATTTAAGCTCTCAAGGTTTCATGGCACACACCCAAAACTCTTTTTCAATTCCTTTGTGCGGTAGCTCAGCTCCACATTCGATTTTTGCTTTTGCAATGCGGGGGGCGCTGGCTTGTTGTTCATATTGTTATTATTGTTATTGGGACCCAGCGGTTTTTTTGTTGTCATCACAGCATAGGTATTGTTGTTGTTGTTGTTAGTCGGCTGCTGCTGCTGTTGCTGCTGTGTTTTGTTTTCGGATCGCTGCAAAATGAACTGCACATCATTTGCATACTCGCCCCACTTGAGGAGCAGCTTCATGGGATTCTCGTTGGGGGCCAAGTGGCGTTCATTGTTGCGCCATCGCTCGATAAGGGTAAATCGTCCCACCTTGCCAGTGGCATGGGCCAAGGCAAACACCACATCCTGCAAGAAACCAATGTTAATCAATAATGAAGAAGAAAACCAATCAGAGTGGCAATTATTTATGTACCTGGCATGTGGTGGTCACCGTCACGCCACACACAATCCGCTGGATGCCCTCAACCCAAACTTTCAGCTCCATTCCGGCTAATTGTTGTTCTGTCTGTCTTTCGGTCTCTACGGCGGCCAATTATTGCTATTTCTCCGATGGCGGCGGCAGCTACCAGAAAATTGCTTTCTTGCGCCGCTCCAACTGACACTGAACTGGGGCGCACCCGAAGGGGCGGGGGGTTCTCCACTACTAATGGCTTTTTTGGCAGTCCCGACGACGCTCGACTGGCGTTCTGCTGTCGCGCAGCCAGCGAAGCGTGTCAACTGCACTCCGCCTATCCACTTTTCCCTGCTTTTCCTGCTGCTCACTTCCCTTTCTTCTGTTTAATTTTCCCGATCGCAGCTTCTGCTTCACTTGCACTTATTTACAACAACACGACGGGTTTCATGCTGGTGTGTGTGCGATTCAATGCAGGTGTATGCGAGTGTGTGTGTGTGCTGGAAAAATTCTGATTCACTTTTTAGAAATCCGTTCTAATCCTTGAATTCAGTGCAGTGCTGAGTGCACTTGATTTTCCTTCACTTGCTCCCGGTTCTGGTTACTAATAATAAGAGCGCTGCACCGCTCTGTATACGTTTTTATGCACTTTTTAACAAATAAATGTTTTCCGTTTATAATGCTGAGATTCGCCAGAAACAGAGCGGGTTTTCTCCTCCACGGCAACTGGTCACACTTGCCAGAAACACGTAACCAAACTACGTAAGAAAAGCTACCAGCGCTGCCAGACCTGCTATCTCAAGTGTTTTAGTGTGCCCAGGTACCACGATAAATCAGCTTATCGATATCAGAAAATTCCGTTTGATAAGTTCACCAATAGCAGCCACACTGCAGGCCCCAAAACAAAACAACTCGGTTCGCGGAGGCGAAAAAATTAGAAAAAATTGCCACTGCGAGAGCTTGGAGGCCACGACCCGTGTGACTAGGAGTTGGCTTAAGGACGTGCGGAGTCCCGAACAGTGCCGCCCGCGAGTGCAACAAACGAGGAGTGACTGCTGACCAGGCCCAAACCTATTGATTTTGGTTTGCAATTGTGCATTAAATATTAAGCGAAAAAACGAGGGCTGGCGCGTGGCAGCCAGTGGCAAATTGTTGCTCCTCGAACGCGAATCCAATCCCCCCCCTACCCAGCCGTGCAATCGCGAAAGTCCGTGTAATCCGGAAATGCAGGCAGCCACCAGAGGAGCAGAGACCAGAGCCAGTTGGTGGACGGAGTGAAGCAACCTGGAGAGAGAGAGCTTGAGCCAGAGCCAACGCGTATTCGAATCCGTGATATTTGGGGCGTGCGTGTAAACAAAGCAAAAAGCAACGACAACAACACAATCACTAGCACACACACACAATGGCCAACAACAGTCGGAGTCGGGCTATACTGAGCGTGAATCTCGACGCGGTCATGGCCAACGATCCGTTGCGGGAGCTCTTCGAGGCCTGCAAGACGGGCGAGATAGCCAAGGTGAAGAAGCTGATAACGCCGCAGACCGTGAATGCCCGGGATACGGCGGGACGCAAGTCCACGCCTCTGCACTTTGCTGCGGGTAAGTTGCTAGTCGAAAGTCGAAAGTCGAGAGATCTCGAGATTTCCGCCGTCCAAGGACGTCCTATAAACAGCATAATGTCCTGCCACCCTTTTTTTTTTGGCCAGGGTTGAAGGACTTGCAACCCCACTGCTCCGTACCCATGTCCCGCCGCACTGCGGGCTGCTCTTGTGCGGATTTGGCCTTGAGCTAGTTGCGCCTGGGTGTGACGGGCGTCATTGTCGTCTCGGTCGCTCTCGGTCGGACACTCGCCTGCTCCAATGGCGTCGAGAGTTGACCTAGTTTCCACTTGCCTCGGCTTCTGCTTGTGCTTCTGCTTCTGTTCTCCGCTTTTCTGTTCTATGTGTGGGGTTCGGGGCTTGTTTCCGGAACTCTCGCCGTGTCTCCCCCTCTTCTCCCTCCTCTTTCTCTGCTCTTATGGCCCCCGTGTGCGTGCTGCATTTTAACAATTTCTATTTTCACAAAAATATGCACACAGCTGCGGTTAAGATAATAGCAGTAATGGCACTGCCACAGCCATTCAAAGGTGTTTGCTGGCGCCTCTATCTCTTGAAGCTTTCACATTTAGCAAACATTTAGCATTGCAAATAACAGAAAGCAAGAATATATGCAACAAAATTGGTACAAAATGAGTAAACATTTGGTATTTAGCATTTTTGAAACTGTTTATTTGGCGTATTTCACATTTTCCAAAAAGCTACAGGTGTGAAAGGCGGGTGGTTACTTCTGGTAACCAAGGGCAACAATTACAAGGAATATTCTTGAGAACGGAAATTATACAGGATTTATAAGCTTAATTTATGTTATGATATATTTAACAAGGTATAATCGATTTTTGCTCCGATTCCATGATCCTATGGCAAGATCCTAATGCATATTTCGGCTTCCCAAAGTTAGTTTGGTTTCTTGTTTTTATATATTATTTATTTATTATATTAAGTACAAGCATTTACACATAAAAACAGTTTTTTAATAAAAATATTCCACCTACCGTTTCATTAAAAAGTCATACCTAAGAAGATCCTCTAGCTTTTGTGATGATGTTATTTTCCTTGCAGTTGTATTTATGTGTTATTTTTCTTGGGTGGTGCTGGCAGGGATATAGTGGGTGTTGGGGCGATGGGCAGTGGGTGGGACTTGTTGTGGCTGCTGCTGCCTTAGCTTCAGATTCGGATTTGGATTCGGATTCTGCTCTCTGCTGGTACTGTGTTGCCTGCGCCAGCCATCCTGCTGACGTCTTTGGCTCAATATTTTGCGTCTTTTGTTGTGACTTTGGCCTAGTTAGCATTTTTATGCATTGCGATTAATATGTTGTCAGTTTTTTTTTAACTAAAAATAACCCTTTTTTGTAACTGTTTCTGTCCGTCGCCGCACGCCCCTTGCATATTAATTTCGCCTTTTTGGCTTCTTTTTAAGTTGAGCACTTTTTTATTATCTTGTGGTCTATGATTCATTCGTCTTGGGTCTTTCTTTCTATAAACTGGTTTTCCATTTTTTATTTCGTCTGTCTTTTTGTCACGTTCTGTGAACCAAAAAGTGAGATCTTCAAGGGGTCTCTGTTATTGTCTGTCTGCCAGCCAGCTTTATTTTTTGTTATGTCTCGTTTTCACCTTGTTAAATGTACGAATTTTTCAAACTATTCGATTTTTTCGGACAATACCTGTTGCCGAGGAAGCTCACGTTTCTTCCTTCCTTCCCTCACCCCCTGGAAATCGTGACAAACAGTAAAACTTAATTGTTTAACTTTCGGTTCTTTTCGATTAACCCAACTCTCAGCCTTTATCTCTCAGAGGTGTTTATACAGCCAAAGATAATAATACTAACTGGGAGAGGCCAGCCAACGGAGCGACCTTCCTTCCTTCCTTGTCTGAGACACTAAAACTTACTTTTATCGCTGCCCCAAAAGTTGGGCATAATTAACCTTCAGCCAGGCAATTGCAAATCAAGTTGCCAAAGTGTATATCTTGGGTTATAATGTATGAATTCCCCACTCAAGGATCACTTTTATGGTCCAAGCAAAGCCCTCTCTCAGCCCCCAAGTGCAACAGTTGGAATAAGTTTTCCATTCTATTAATTTTTAATGCAAAACTTTCGTAATTGTGTAGTGTTTGGGCCACACACAAAAAGTGAACGGCGCAAAAACGTTTCGCAAATCTCTGTTTTTTTGGTGGGTGGCTCAAGCTCAAGCTTTTGTTTGCCGCGAGATTTGTAATTGGCTTCGGTTCGTTCTCCTTGCAGTTCATTATAAAACTTTGCAATAGATATCAACGACAATAAGCATTTTATTTATTATTATATCTAGTGTGTGTGTGGGTGTGACTAATTGTCTTTCCTCATATCGAGATGAGTCAGTTATCTGAGATATGGACAAGTTTTGGTTGATAAAGCAAAAAATGCAAGTAATTTGGAAATAAATAAAGGGTTTATCGAGCAAAAGATGACTTCAAATCGTATTTAAATGATATAATTCCATTTGATCTTGATTTTGGCTATTGGGAAGTATTTTTCCATCATGATTCATGATTTTAAGTGCTTATAACTTGGGCAATTCAATGTTTGCCAGAGCTTTCACTGCTTGTAACAACATTAAGCTTTGAATGTCAACCTTGAGTTTAATTTACAATTTAAATATGGTTTATATTTAAAGGCGTTTTCACTAACCTTTGAAAGTCCAAAGCATACAAAAGAGGCCTAACTGACGCTAAAGTTGATTGTTTTTATAGAAAAATATCGAAATAACATTGAAAAAATTGACAATTTTTAGTTTTTATAGATTAAAATAATACTTTCTTTGATTCCCTGGTGATTAATAAATTTCATAGTCCACGGGCAAGGTCGGGAGAACCTCCAAACAAGCCAAGAAAGAACCCTGACGACTAGTAGACCTTCCCGTTTCATTTCTACGGCTTGCCATCGACCAAAACAGACACTAAGATTGACACTCATCTCTGTCCCTCTATCCCTCCCCTTACCCACCAGGTTATGGACGCCGAGAAGTGGTCGAATTCCTCCTGAACAGCGGCGCCTCCATCCAGGCCTGCGACGAGGGCGGCCTGCATCCACTGCACAACTGCTGCTCCTTTGGCCATGCCGAGGTGGTGCGACTTCTGCTAAAGGCCGGAGCCAGTCCCAACACCACCGACAACTGGAACTACACTCCATTGCATGAGGCGGCCAGCAAGGGCAAGGTAGATGTGTGCCTGGCCCTGTTGCAGCATGGGGCGAATCACACGATCCGGAATTCAGAGCAAAAGACACCGCTAGAGCTGGCAGATGAGGCGACGAGGCCCGTTTTAACTGGAGAATATCGCAAGGATGAGCTTTTGGAGGCCGCTCGTTCGGGGGCAGAGGATCGTCTGTTGGCCCTGCTGACGCCACTGAACGTCAACTGCCATGCCAGCGACGGACGACGTTCAACGCCCCTTCATCTGGCGGCAGGCTACAATAGGATTGGTATTGTGGAAATCCTGTTGGCCAACGGGGCGGATGTGCATGCCAAGGACAAGGGCGGTTTGGTGCCGCTGCACAATGCCTGCTCCTATGGGCACTTTGATGTGACCAAGCTGCTCATCCAGGCAGGTGCCAATGTCAATGCCAACGATCTGTGGGCCTTTACGCCGCTCCACGAGGCCGCCTCCAAGAGCCGGGTTGAGGTATGCAGTCTGCTCTTAAGCCGCGGAGCAGATCCCACGCTCCTCAACTGTCACAGCAAGTCGGCCATAGATGCGGCGCCTACCAGGGAGCTAAGGGAAAGGATTGCATGTGAGTAAAGAAAGACTTTGGGGTTATTTATTTATAATCTATAAACTTGATTCTCCTTCTTTTCCAGTCGAGTACAAGGGTCATTGTCTGCTGGATGCCTGTCGCAAGTGCGATGTCTCCCGTGCCAAAAAGCTGGTCTGCGCGGAGATTGTGAACTTTGTGCATCCCTACACTGGAGATACTCCCCTCCACCTGGCCGCCGTTTCACCTGATGGCAAGCGCAAGCAACTCATGGAGCTGCTGACCAGAAAGGGAGCTCTTCTCAACGAGAAAAACAAGGCATTCCTCACTCCCCTTCATCTGGCCGCCGAATTGCTGCACTACGATGCCATGGAGGTCCTGCTGAAGCAGAGTGCCAAGGTGAATGCTCTCGACAGCTTGGGGCAAACCCCATTGCATCGATGTGCTCGGGATGAGCAGGCAGTTCGTCTGCTGCTATCCTACGCCGCAGATACAAATATCGTTTCGCTGGAGGGACTCACCGCCTCGCAATTGGCCTCGGACAATGTGCTCAAGCTGCTCAAGAATCCGCCCGACAGTGAAACCCATTTACTGGACGCTGCCAAAGCCGGAGACCTGGACACTGTGCGTCGCATTGTGCTGAACAATCCACTAAGGGTCAACTGTAGAGATTTGGATGGACGACATTCCACGCCGCTCCACTTTGCCGCTGGCTTCAATCGGGTGCCAGTGGTTCAGTTTCTGTTGGAGCATGGCGCCGAGGTGTATGCCGCTGACAAAGGTGGCCTAGTGCCCCTTCACAACGCCTGTTCCTACGGGCATTACGAGGTCACCGAACTGCTGGTCAAGCACGGAGCCAATGTGAATGTCTCCGATCTGTGGAAATTCACGCCACTCCACGAAGCGGCTGCTAAGGGAAAATATGATATTTGCAAGCTGCTCCTTAAGCACGGTGCCGATCCCATGAAGAAGAACCGTGATGGGGCTACCCCAGCGGATTTGGTCAAGGAATCGGATCACGATGTGGCCGAGCTACTGAGAGGACCCTCTGCTTTGCTGGACGCTGCCAAAAAGGGCAACCTGGCCAGGGTTCAACGATTGGTTACCGCGGAAACCATCAATTGCAGGGATGCGCAGGGCAGGAATTCCACGCCGCTGCACTTGGCCGCCGGCTACAATAACTTTGAGTGTGCCGAGTACCTGCTGGAGCACGGAGCCGATGTTAATGCCCAGGACAAGGGTGGACTTATACCACTGCACAATGCCAGCTCGTATGGGCATTTGGATATAGCAGCGCTGCTGATCAAGCACAAGACAGTCGTAAATGCCACGGATAAATGGGGCTTTACGCCGCTCCACGAGGCAGCCCAGAAGGGACGCACGCAACTGTGCTCGCTCCTGCTGGCCCACGGTGCCGATGCCTACATGAAGAACCAGGAGGGACAGACGCCCATCGATCTGGCCACCGCCGACGATGTCAAGTGCCTGCTGCAGGACGCCATGGCCACCTCGCTGAGCCAGCATGCATTGAGCGCTTCCACGCAATCGTTGAGCAGCAGCTCCCCGGCACCGGATGCAGCAGCAGTAGCAGGAGCAGCAGCTGCCTCGGCAGCCGGTACCTCATCGACAGCCTCCTCCTCCTCCACGATTCTGTCCCCCACCACGGAAACCGTGCTGCTGCCCACCGGCGCCTCCATGATCCTCAGTGTTCCTGTACCGCTGCCTCTGAGCAGCTCCACGCGCATTAGTCCGGCCCAGGGTGCCGAGGCCAATGGGGCCGAGGGCTCCTCAACAGATGACCTCCTGCCGGATGCGGAGAACATCACCAATGTGTCCGGGTTCCTCTGCAGCCAGCAGCTGCATCACCTAACCGAGCTGTTCGAGCGTGAGCAAATCACATTGGACATTCTGGCCGAGATGGGTCACGATGATCTCAAGCAGGTGGGCGTCTCCGCCTACGGCTTCCGCCATAAGATACTCAAGGGCATTGCCCAGCTGAGGGCCACCACAGGTGGGTTTTTCACAGGGAATCTCTGCCTATTTAAGCTATAGCTGGGTCTATTTTTGTGTCAGGCATTGGTAACAACGTTAACCTGTGCACCCTGCTGGTGGACCTGCTGCCGGATGACAAGGAGTTTGTGGCCGTCGAAGAGGAAATGCAGGCCACGATACGCGAGCATCGGGATAATGGACAGGCCGGTGGATATTTCACGCGCTACAACATAATACGGGTAAGTTTTGAATACTTTAAAATAAATCCGAGTTCTTTTTTAAACCTTGGTCAAAAAAAACAGGTGCAAAAAGTGCAGAATCGTAAGCTTTGGGAGCGTTATGCCCATCGGCGACAGGAGATCGCCGAGGAGAACTATGTGCAGTCCAACGAGCGCATGTTATTCCATGGCAGCCCCTTTATCAATGCGATTGTACAGCGGGGCTTTGACGAGCGCCACGCCTACATAGGTGGGATGTTTGGGGCGGGCATTTACTTTGCCGAGCACAGCTCGAAGAGTAATCAGTATGTTTATGGAATTGGCGGTGGCATAGGATGTCCCTCGCACAAAGACAAGTCCTGCTACGTGTGTCCAAGGTGAGTCAAGGATTTAGTTGGGTCTTTAGCGTTTCTTAATCCCCATTTTCTTCCCACAGACAACTCCTCCTGTGTCGCGTGGCCTTGGGTAAATCCTTCTTGCAGTACAGCGCCATGAAGATGGCCCATGCTCCGCCTGGCCACCATTCGGTGGTGGGACGACCATCGGCAGGTGGCCTGCATTTCGCGGAATATGTTGTCTATCGGGGTGAACAGGTGAGTGTCTTGGAATCAAAGCTCTTCACACAGTTTTAACCTGTTTTATTGTGGCCCTTAGTCTTATCCAGAGTACTTGATAACCTACCAAATTGTGAAGCCCGATGACAGCAGTAGCGGGACGGAGGATACAAGATGATGGATGCCCTCTGTTGGCTCCACGCCCACAACCACATCGCCAGCTCTGCAGCAGCAGCAGCAGCCGCTGCCGCAACAACAACAACAACAGAAGACCTCAGCTCCAGTTGCCAAGAGCCGGCCCAAGCATGCCAAGCCTTCGCTGCAGGTGCAGTATCAGCATTATCAGCCACAGCAGCACCTTGTTACCACCACTCAGCCGTCGCCCGCTGGCGTCTTTGCGCACAACAACAACAACAATCATAATAACGCCAACAACACCAACAGCGGTCATGTGAGCAGCAGTAACAACAACAATGACATGTCGCCGGTATCGAACAGCAATAGCTACTCTTCGGTGGACACCAACCAGACGCTGCTCAATTCGCTGGCCAACCAGCAGCGGCACAACCAACGACACCAACAGCAGCAGCAGCAGCAGCAAAACCAACAGCAACCAGCAGCGAATCGCAACCAAAAGTATAGTCAATTTATGATCATCACACCCGCCGTTTCCATAGATCGCGACTTTGAGTACGAGTCCCATTTAGATTTTGAGGATTTCGCCAATGCGGCCCACAACAATGGGAATCTGTTTCGATTGGGATTGCGACGCAGCGATAGCAGCAGCGGCGACAGTGGCCACAGCAGCGACAGCAGCAGTTTTCGCTCGAATTATAATCCGTATTTGCATCACAGTCGCCAGCACTTGCTGTCCAAGGGCGGAGGAGGTGGAGGAGGAGGCGGTGCCAGTCGTCACTTTTACGCTTTTACCTCTTCCTGGAGGTGGTGCAGTCTGCTGTGCGCGGCCATGCGCTGCTTTGGTGCCGGTGCTGGAAACGGACACGCCAATGCTCCCTACAGCAGCTCCCTGCAACATCATCGGCTCAGGCGCTGCTCGTCGTACAACGCAGAGAATGCCTACGAGCACTTTGCGGCGCCCTTCAAGGCGCGCAAGACGCGCGATCATATGAACAACATCACCTACGAGTTGTGACGGTGGCACTGTGTGTTGCTGCTGCTGCCGGTTATTGATCTCCCGTCTCCTTTATTACAATTACTAGCTATAGATGTCGTGTCCTGTGTGTGTCTCTCACTCTCTTTCTCTCTCTCGTTGTTTATTATTACTCTATAATATATCACAAGTAAGGGGCGAGCAAAGCGAGACTCGGATTGGCATGGATTATTGGGTTATCCAAGGAGTAGCACGGTTTTTGAGTGATTTTAAATTCGATGAAATACCGAACGTTCGATTATACAAGGTAAATAACAAGTTCTTTGACGACAAATGATGGAATGAAGGCATTACAATACATTACATTGCGCTCGGGCGTTTATTTAAGTGTTTAAGCTTAGTTAATTTAAACAGAAATTAAACTCCAATTAAATTTAAATATACAAATACATATACATCATATAATAAAACTTAATTGTTTTCTTTTAAAACTGTGGGGGAATAACGAAATATTAAAAAAAAAGTAAGTAGTTGTTACATTTTGTAAAATTTAGAAATAAATTACCTTGTAAATTGTAATATTTTAAATTAAATATCATATTAGACTACTTTCCAGTACTTATTTTAAATTGTTTTTAATAAATTTTATCAATATTTTTTTAATTTTGTGATTAATTAACAAAGAATCTATGAACTCCTCAAAAACTGCTTTAAAAAAAACCAAATACAAGTTATTTAGACTTCTAATTTTAAATGTTTTAAGCTTTCTTATCATGAATGTGCAAACTCAAAAATAAATTATTATATTCAGATATACCAGACTATTTGTTATCAGCTGTAAACCAAAAACCACTTGATTAACATAAAATGGCTTTAAATTTAAAATATCTTTGAGATTTTTTTTGTGCTTTGGTTATACAATCATACGTATTTATATTATATTCTTACAAAGTAACAGCGCAAACATACTATTTAAGTATAGTTTTGTTGATTTCTTATACATATTTATTACATGCTATTTAATACAAGACATTGATATTTTAGTTTATATTTAGAATTCGCGCCTGTTGTATTTTTCGGGATCAAAATATGAAGTGATAACTGCGCGACCATTAAAATTACGTTTACAAAGTTCCTCCTTGGCCTTTTGACAGTCTAAGGCCGAGTCAAATAAGACAAAAACGTTGCCGCATCCAGGAACGTCTTCGCCTTCAATGGGACGTGGCATCTCCACGCTACGCACCACACCAAACTTTTCGCACTCCTCCCTGATGCCCTTTAAGATATCAACGCTTTTCTCTTGGCGCAGCTCATCCAGGGTGACTACGTTGACCAAGCAGAGTACCTCGGTGGATGAAAGGCTTGGGTGTGCCGCTTTCTGAGCCTTCTTGGCGCCCAGGCTGGCGCGTTGAACGATCAGTTTCCTGTCGCACAGTTGCAGCCAATTCAAGGCATCAACGACCTGATCGGTAACGCCGACATCCTCATATTCGCAAAAAGCAAATCCCTTACTTTTCCCAGTTTGCAGATCTTTAACATGTTTAAAGGCTCTTAGCTTGCCAAAAGGCAAAAGCAGCTCCTTCACCTGGTCGTCGCTTATGAAACTTGGCAAAGCTCCTATATAAATTGTGTTGGGCGATTTTGCATCCACATAAGTCGACGTATAAGACTGTATAACCACCGGGCGCTGGTACTTATCCGGCCGTCGTATCTTCAAGTATTTCCCCATCAAGTTGATGCCATTAAGTGCCATGGCTTGGGTCGTGTCATCAACGGAACTAAACTCCAGAAAGGCAAATCTTTTGGCCGTAAACAATTGGCACTCCAATATTGGACCAAGGTTGAGAATACGCATTTGATGATTGAAGAACTGCAGCAGCATGTTTTTGGTAATGTTTGGCGGAATGTTCCCCACGTACAGGCGACGGTGTTCATCTTGCAAAACGCTGGAAGAGATCTGACCGGGCACCTGCATAGTATTAGGTAGGTTGATGAGATTAAGTTTCGGCGGAGGCGTATCCCATGGTCCCGCCACCTGGGGCATGTCTGGCAAAAAGCTGAAGGCGATCGGGCCGGGCACCTGTATTGTATTAACCTCTGTGAGGTTGAAGTGTTCAAGTACCGGCGGCGGCTCATCCCGGAATGGTTTGCGAGTTGAGTTCAAATAGTAGGGCAGGACACTGAAGTGGTCTGTGAGACTATTGCGACGGCTACTTTTCTCTTTCATTGTCGAGCTTTTGTAAATTTCAAAATACTCCTTCAAAGAAAAGCAATTTAACTTTCAAATTACTGAAAATATGCCTAGTCTTATTGCGCATAGAAAAATAAATACCTGGAACTGGCTCAATCAAAGTTTGCTGCCACAAAACGTCAAAATCTTTCGCGGAAATGGAACACGACCGCCATCATTTTATAATCGATTGCCTTATACGGCAACACCGAAGCTTTTTGGAACGATCTGGTAGCTTTTAAATTAATCGATAAGCCATAAAAGTAAAACTTATAAGATTATTATTTTGGTTTAAGGCAAGCCACCTAGAAAATGTTAAAAAGTATGTATTCTTGTCAGGTTTTCTTAATATTTTCCATTTTTCGCCAGAAAACGGCAATTAAATTTTTGAAAAACTAAGTTTCCCACCTTTTAATCAAAGTCAAACTATAATTTACATCACGGCTACTTGCTTTTAAAAAATAAGAAAATTTACCTTTGATGACAAATATTTAAATAGGTAAGTTTTAAATATTTTACATTTGTAACGGTATTTTTGCAGCCCTGCTCTTACGTTACGTTTTTATCGCTGCTGCTGGCATGTGGCATATTTCCACAATCACGTACGGTCTCACTGGCGAAATGTACGTCATTCGTCGGAATCATCTTCGAAAATTGAAAATGGATCGGTAGCTGGGAAAGAAACTTAAAGCGAAATACGCAAAGAAAACGGCTTTTGTCCGCTATTTCAGCGATTTTTTTTGTGTTGTATCAGCGGAGGAAATTTTAACAACGACCAGGACCCACAACACCACAGCCTCAGCCACTCCTGCAGAAACACCAAGGCGCATCCAACAATAAAGAAGAAAAAATAGAATACCCCTGCACCACCACACCACCACAGCCACAACTACAACTACAAACTACAGCAAGCAAAAACAACACAACTGCACAGCCCAAGCCCACAAAGGTGAAACGCAAAAAGAGCGCAGAAAATTAAACGGAGTCAAAGAGAGGAATAATAAACCCAAATTTTTGCTTGCGCTTTTGCCTGTGATGCCGATGTGATGAGAGAAATCAGCGAACTGCAACAACACCAACCACAGGGACACCAACGACGACTCAACCACCAAACTTGACCAACGAAAACAGAATTAGATAAACGGACACTAGAATCGAATCCATTTACCCACTACAACAACAACAGCAGTAGCAGCCGCATTTCTTGGCAATTGGATTAAAAAGAAGAAAACATCATCCCATAGGCGGCCACCATTTTGAATGAGCTGAAGCGCAAGAGATAGAGCTGAGAGAGCGCGAGAGAGCGAGGCGATACTTCGGCTCTCATTTGTTGCACTACGCATTGCAGCTGGCCCCGCGGCGTAAACGTAACCGAAAACCGAAGACCCTTTCCAGTCTGGTCTCTCCGTCTAATCGCGTCCGGAACCAAAAGCAACAGCAACATGGTGGAGCTGGAGGAGCAGAAATCCAGCGCAGCAGCTGCCTCTGCCTCAGCTGCGACGCAGCAGCGGAACGCCAACAACAACGGCAACAACAACCCCCGAGGTTCTGGCGACAGCGGCATACGCAGCGGCAGCGGCGTTTCCTGCAGCAACACGGACAACAGCTGCAGTCAGTCAGGTGAGCTCTTAACCCATTGCGTGGAACAATGGCTGAATATGGATGTGGAACCAGACTGAATATTTCTATATTAGAAGAAGTTTACTTAGTTCGAAGCACAGCTTGCCAATGAAAGAGGGAATTAATAGAGTACAATTTGCATGTTTTTAAAAAGCAACTTAAGGGTGATTGTTAACAAGTTCAAGTATATTTTGTAATACACCTAATATTCCAAAATGCTAGTTTTTTTATATTGTGTTCAAGGTACATAATGCAGTTCATTAAGAAACTTTTCCACTCTCGTAAATCGATTTGGGATCCGTGTTTAATGGGTTAAAGGGGGCATTGCTCTACCTACCCCATCGCCACGTCTCCGCCATGCTAGTTCTCTGTAGAGCTCGGGCTAGCAGAACTTTCGTTTACCCTTGCTAATCAATCGGCCGAAATAGGGAGCATTGACTGGCGCATATAGAGTGCCGCCTGCCAGTGTACCAGTGTATTTCCTTGACGTCACAAAAAATTCTAGAACATGCATGCTGTCTGTCTATCGGTCGGTTGGTTGGTCGGCTAATCCCCCGCCCCCACTCATCCACTGGCTGTTTACAGTTGTTTTGTTTTGCCAAGAGAAGCACACATTGCATCATGCGACGATTGGGCGACCGACCATTTATTATAATGTGTTTGCTCCACTTAGAAGGGTATTCCAGCATCGGCACTCTGCGATTTTTGTTGGACGCGTTTTAAGTTTACGTATCTCTAATCTGAATCACTAAATAAAAACAGACATGGCAAAATGTTTATAGGCAAATCATATGAGTCAAAGCAAAATTACCCATATTACTCAAATTCGTTGTTTGTTGCACAAATGTTATTTTAGTGGCTAAAAGCTATATCACAAAAATTTAGACGCAAAAACCCTTAGAATTACAATATATTTAATTTACAGTTTTAGGTTAACTATGCTGAAAAACGTCAGCCAGTTAGTTGTTTTAAAGATTCAGATAGAAGCAGCAAAACAATCCATATAGACGAAACATTTTTATAACGTACATTGTATGTACATAAATGCATATCTTTGTATGGTTGTATGTACACCAATTTTGGTTGGATTACTATAGTTAACAAAAAAGGGGCCTAGCTTTAAAATAGGAGCTGTTTGTTGTTAATTTTAACATAGGCTTATAGAGAAAATATAGGCAATCCAGCCTATAACGCTGAACAGTTCTATACTTATTAAAACAGGGCTTATCGTATACCATTAAAAAAAACACTTCCTATTGGAATAATTTAATCTGCAAGGGTATTCCTAGCTTCGATTTCCTGAGCTCGAAAGAAAGGCTCACAATGCTTCCTGTTATTTTTCTCCCAAACAACCCGTTATCGTTGGTGGGAGGAGAGCAACAGCTGCCAGAGGTGGAACAAAGAGAGTGAGACGACACGAGTATCTGTGCCAGCTACTTGAGAAATTGAGCGTGTGCGGACAATTAATGGAAATGGAAAAAATGAGTCACGAGCTGATCGATTGAGCGGCATGCACTGGTATTCGTGTTCGTGTTCATTCGCTTGGCTCAAAATGCATCGAACGGCGAAATGTGAACAAACTTCCAAAGCTGCAACCACATATAACCTTCATGACGTTTATTGCACTTGGTGACGTTTGTTGCAGCCCAAAATAGAACGACGGGCCAAAGCGGACGAACAAAAAACGCAGCACAGCAGCACCGAACGAACGTGCGAAAGCGGAGGCAGCGATGAGAGTGGCTGCCTCCCACACAAATGAATGCTCCCATTAAGTGGTTTTTCTGGAGAGGATTACAGTTTCACATGCACCCAAAGAAATGAATTTTCGTTATATATTACAACAATCAGCTAAGGGAAAAAATGTGTTAATTAGAGTCGATAGCTGGGCATGTTTTCCAGAACTATTATCAAGAAGTTTTCCATTCTACCTCGTCTTTTCGAGGACAGCTAGTGCCTACGTGCAGCCTCACATTCACAAAAGCAATCTGCCTCTCTTTCTCACCCACTCTCCTGCAAAAGCCCTGCGAGAGAAATTTATTTTTTAGCTTTGGCAATGCCGTCGCAGCGAACCGATAAAAAGCCGTCAGCTGAAACCCAGGCACATATTGCTGTTTACTTAAGCAAAAAACGAAAACAATGCTAGTTAAATAAAGCTTTTGTTTTTGTTTCTGTTTTGCTGTTTGCCCTTTCCACTTGTTTGCTTTTGAACAAAACTCGCCGACATCACACCACCTTCCGTGCTCCGTTTGTGTTGGTGTGCCTGTCTGTCCGTCTCTCTCTCGCTTCTCGAAGCCCCCTCCCCCACATCGCGGCCTACGTGAGATTTGGCATCGCACTCACACTTCAGAGCGCAGAAAGGCAGCGGTGGTGAGCTTCTCGTCCATTTTTTGCAGGGGCTTAATGAATTTAAATTATTACATGGCACACAGCATTCGGCATTGCATCATGTAAGCCTGCTCTCTCCGGCACCGGTCTCTTCCAGAGCGACTCTCTTAAAGCTCTCGTCGCTCGGCTGTCGCTTTGTTATTGTTTTTCCTGTTGCTGTTTTTGTTTTGCTTGCGGCGGCCACAACCACAAAGCTACTTCTTGGCAAAACGGGTTCTGGTCCAATCAGTGGATGTGGCTCTATCTCCACTCTCTTTCCGCACGCTCTCTGAGTGTGTGAGTGGGCTTATTTGCCCCCTTGTTATCACACAGGTATCGGTATGGGAGCAGGTATTGAAATGGGTATCGGCTGCCCCCAGATGTTGATCCGGCGTAAACTAGTCTACCCGTATTTGTATTTACCTTCTTCGAAAGCCAAGAATTTGATTCGATTCGCAAAGCGGAGCTAATGCGCTTTGTTTTCTTCTCGGCTATATGAATTAATATCGAGTCGATGAATAAACATCTCCGGTAATGGCTTCGTTTTTAAATTCAAACCGGATTTTTGCAACCAGAAGCTTTTTCCTTCCGGGCCGCATTTAATTTTGTTTTGTAATCAAAAGGTCGTGTTATTATTATTATTGTCCTAAGCTAAACGATATTTCTGGTTGTTCAGCATTTGCAATTCTACTGGAAATGGCTCTTTTCGCTATCTATGGATATTAGCGGTCATCCTGATAAGAACTTTAGTTGGGAGTTGCTAGATTAAAAACAAAAAATTTATGTAGACAGCGGAACATCAATTTTATTATAAAACTAAGGCCATAATAATAATGCTAATGTGTACTGGTTTTAAGAACTATTAGTTTGACCGCCACTGTTCGTGTCTATATGTTACAACAACTCTCGCTCTCATTTTGCGGAACCACCCGCTCTTAGCTCTCTCTTACTCGGCTCTCGCGCGGCGGTAGTTTATTTTTCGTCGCTCGAAATCGGGCGCGTGTATTCGATTCTTTCCTCGTTGGCGCTAGGTCCGCTAAGTTTGTCCGTGTTTCCCATTTTTTTTAAATTCACTATTTTGGCCAATTGGTTTTCGCCGCACGCCACCCGAATTTTCCACAGTCGCCGGCCGGTATATCTGCAGTAATTAAATAAACACACGTCCATTTCGAATCGCAATACCCCGGGCCAGTCAATCCGAAAATTTTCCGCGTGCTTCCACGTCTCCATTCATCGTTTGGAGCTGTTCCCTTTTTGGTGGATTGATATCCTGCACAAAAAGGAAGTGTTTACAAAGATGATCCAACCGGAATCGGGTTAAAATTAGCCCACAAAAACAACAGGAGAAGAAATTAAACTAAAGCTGAAACTACTGAGCAATATATTTTTCGACGGGGGAGCAGTTTTATCTACGCATTGCAAAAACGTGCCGCCTAGTAGAACAATAAGAAGAAGCAGAACGGGCGTTGCTTAGACAAATTGCGTTGCGATTAAAAGGCGAACACAGCAGCAACAACAAACATGTTGGGTAAATACAAAAACAACTAGAACAAGACGGAAAATGTCTAGAATGAGATGAGAGATCTCTCGCACACAAACAAAATGCACACACACCCACAGGCAGGTGCACGTGTGTGTGTGAGTGTGTGTGCATTTCGAAATGCCGGTTTTTGCATTTTGTTTTTGTTTTTGTTCGAGCAAGTTTTTCCGCTCTATCTCTATTACACGATTAAATAAAATTCTGTTTCGACAAACCTAGTAAAACAAATTGGCTTACAACGGTAAACTATTAACTACAAAAGTCGACCTTGGCCACACGCCTCCCAAAAAAATGCATAATAAACACCAGATGGTTATTCTTTAATTTAATTGTATTTCATTTTGTCATATCTTTCGCCATTTTCATACTTTTTCCTTTACAATTTCATTTGCTGCGCAATAATTTTCTGCTTCTTTACAACACAAACACACGCGTTCCCATAGCGTATGTATGTGCGTGTTTGTGTATGGATGCATATGTGTGAGTGAGTGTTTCTGCCCGTGAATTCATGCTGGCAAATATGGAAGGTGGCGCAAAAAGAAGAGGGCGTTTGAAGAGAACTATTCTTTCCACTTTCTAGACTTATCGTATAAAAATTATTTAAAAAATGATTTTCATACATTTTTACATATACGTTTCTATCTATATTCATATTTTAAAAATACGTAAATATCATTCGATTGATGGTCAGTCGTATAACAAATGTGTCTTTTTGGTTTGACTAAAAATCAGACTGTAAGCAACTGTTTGACGTCACAGATTTGCTGATTTTGAGGGCTGCTAATTGGCAATTTATTCGCTTATGCCCCCGTACACTTTCACCCTGCCATGAAGTAATACCCCTACAAAGAGGAAGACACAGAGAGGAAGGGAATGGGGGAAACACCTTATCGCCTTCCGTCTTTCCCACATTCTCTCTCGGCGTATCTCTCTTTATTTACTAAAAGCTCTTCGTGTGCGACCGCATGTTGTTTCTTTAATTTTTTGCTTTGCACTTTAAATTGAAATGGGCAAAGTAAAGTGCCAAAAGCAAACCTTTTTGGATTTCTCGCTTTTTGCGTAGTACGCTGCTCTTATCGGCCTTTTGTTTATTCGCTAATCGCCGCCACCTTATTTTTGCCGTTTCCTACCTAGACCAATTTAATTACTTATTATGGCACCGAGCTGAGAGCCATAGATTGTGTTTGTGCTCAAAAATTCTCAAGGTTTTTATTTTCTTGTTTTGCCTTCTGCTTCGGGTTATCAGCTTCTCTGCACCTGTGTATGTTCAGAAATGTTTAGTATAAAAAACCCTCAACTCTTAGGTGACTAGGAAAGTAACCTTTACCTTTCTCACGGCTTAATTTTGAAAGTTCAACATTTGTTTTTTTTTCTATTTAAATCCAATTTTCTGTTTTTTATGGAAAAATTAATTTCCGAATGCCTTAATTGTTATTAAATTATTATTTTTACATGAATTGGGTCTAGTTAGAACTAGAACCGCTGATACAGCCTAAGGGATTTCAAACCAAGCCAATTGTCGTCATCAGCAGCGCCTTATCGACCTGGCATCTGAAGGGATCAGATCGGATGATTTCGATTACGTAGAGACATCCTCGAACCAAAATAAACACATGTCAAAAACAATACGCCGGAACTGCGGCAATTATTTTTTTTTATGCAATTTGTATAAAAATAAATACATATATCCTATCCATCAAAGTGAAATGAGTCGGCGAAAAATCATAATTAAATGCGCAGAATATTCTTCGAGATCGAGAGAGGAGACCGCCGATTGGATAAACAAGAGAAATGCGAGAAACACGCGTCTCTTCGCTGCCTTTGCATTTATTTACGCAATTGATAACAATTAAAGCTGACCAATAAATAGGCCAAATTTTAAATTTAGACCAGAAAAACAAAGCAAAAGACGGGGGCGGACCAGACGGAAGGGGTCGATTCTACAAATTGGACGACACTTTCAGGAACAACAGCAAACTTTCCATTTATTTTATAATTGGTTGAATCCAACGGGGCAACGACTTGCTACCGATTCAAGTGATACAACCCCAACTAGTGATATGCACAGAAGTTTTTATAGACTTCAACTTGTTCCCCTTTTTTCCATACAGTAAATATATTTAAATGGAACTTTTTGGTCTTGTTCAACGTGAATACCTTGTGCTTGTAAAAGAGGAGTACCAAATACAATTTACAATATAGACAAATTTCCATTTATGAATGCTTTCTGTTCTACTTAGAAATATATATAAAACCCAAGCGATTTTAAACCAATATCTACTGTATTTGACTCTTCGTTATTGTTATGCACTAAGGCGATATTATGTACATATTTGCAGTGCGACGTGCCTCCGAGCTGATAGCGACTACGGTCGACTATAGCTCCTAGATCTTTGTGCAGATATCGCTCGAAATGCAGTCGCTGTGGGCTTTATAAATAGTCATCCAGCTATTGACAACAATTGAAGAACAGGCACACACCCAATCAAGCTGATCACCAGAGCTTCGCCTCTCACTCCTCTGATCTATAGACCAGGCTTTGGATTAGCTTCCAGTCCCAGCCCTAGCTCTGTACAATTCCACACAGAAGTTTGCTACCGACGCCTGTTTTATTTACACATTATTTTTATTTTTACATATTTATGCACAAGTGTGACGACGACTTGTTTACGACACGCGATTTGCCTTCTACGCAGTTGGTGAAAAGTACGCGTATTATTTCTTATTTTCAATTCCCTCATTATTATTTTTATGCATTGATAAATGTAGAAAAAATATAGGCATACAAATATGGTGAAGCGAATTCGATAAAAACGAGCCTCGCACGATTGCCGGTCGATCGGAAGTCTTAAGCTCTCTAAGGGATTGCCTGTAATTTATTATTAAGCCGACTGTTGCAGTTGAAGGATCTTGGCATGGGGTCTAAAGGGGATACAAATGTTGATAAATGTATAACTTGTGATAAATTTTTGCTATATTAAATAAGTCGATTTATAAGAGGTTGTCCCTTATCATATTTAATCCTAATATCATAATTGAATACTTTAGACATTTAACCGTAAACTAAAAGTATTTAATATCTCTTAACTAACTTTGCATTTATTACTCTTATTCTTGTAGATGGGCAGAATGAGCTAACTCGCTACAGCAGCGAGGATGTGTCGGGCAATGAGTCCAGCGAGGCGCCCAATATGACCGAAGTGGAGCGGCAGGCTGAGTTGAACCGGCATAAGGAGGAGATGCAGAAGAAGAGGAGGAAGAAACGCATCAGTTCCTCTTTGCATTCCTCAACGTTCCAAGGTAAGTGAGCGGATCAGAGTATAGACCTTTAGATGCATTCTCATTTTTTCTCCTTTTAGAGCTGTATAAGCTAACCGGCGAGATTCTGGGCGAGGGCGCCTATGCATCGGTCCAGACGTGCGTCAACATTTACACCGATCTGGAGTACGCCGTGAAGGTGATCGATAAGATACCGGGACATGCGCGTGCGCGCGTCTTTCGCGAAGTGGAGACATTCCATCACTGTCAGGGCCATCCGGGCATCTTGCAACTGATTGAGTTTTTCGAGGATGACGAGAAGTTCTACCTGGTGTTTGAGAAAATCAACGGCGGTCCCTTGCTGACGCGCATCCAGGAGCACATCTGTTTCTCCGAGCACGAGGCTTCGCAGATAATCAAGGAGATCGCCTCCGGTCTGGATTTCTTGCACAAGAAGGGCATCGCCCATCGTGATCTCAAGCCGGAGAATATTTTGTGCGTCAAGACCGACTCGCTGTGCCCGATCAAGATTTGCGACTTTGATCTGGGCTCGGGGATTAAGTTCACCACGGACATATCCTCGCCGGCAGCCACTCCCCAGCTACTGACACCGGTAAGATCGCTAATAATGATATATATGAAACAAGACTTATTCGGGTCCGTTTCGCTTTAGGTTGGAAGTGCCGAATTCATGGCCCCCGAAGTGGTTGATTTGTTTGTGGGTGAGGCCCACTATTATGATAAGAGGTGCGATCTATGGTCCCTGGGAGTCATTGCTTACATCCTGCTCTGTGGCTATCCGCCATTTTCGGGCAATTGTGGCGAAGACTGCGGATGGAATCGCGGTGAGAACTGTCGTACGTGCCAGGAGCTGCTTTTCGAGTCCATTCAAGAAGGTGAGCTTTCTTTTAAAAACGGCTACATTTGATTTAAATCACTAACAAAAATATTTGTTTCCTCTGTTTAGGACACTTTTCCTTTCCGGAGGCCGAATGGCACGATGTCAGCGATGAGGCCAAGGATCTTATTTGCAATTTGCTTGTGAAACAGGCCTCTGATCGCCTCAGTGCTGAGGCGGTATTGAACCACACCTGGATTCGTGCCAGCGAACACGAGCCGAAGGCGAAGCAAACTAGCCGCCACAAGGCACTGCAAACGCCAGCTAACATCCGACGGTAGGTTGCCTAAATTCTTTGCTTAAACATAATTATAAAGGGATTTCAATACCATTTACAGCAACCATCAGTCGGCGAGGGAAATCTCTCAGTTTGCCGAATCGGCTATGGCAGTGAAACGCGTGGTCTTGCAGCATTTCTCTATGCGCTACGACTATATGAAGGAGCGCCCGAACATCTATCAGCCGTCACAGGCGTACATGGATGCCTACAGCGATGAGAACTACAATCCCAAGCCGCCGGCTCATTACACTCGCAATCGCTCTCAGCGCAATCCCGCTGCCGCCTCTCTGTCCAGCTACGGCGGACGCGCATCCTCGATGCATGGCCAGCGTGCCAGCAGCCGTCAGTCTTCCAGGAATGCCTCTCGCAATGCTTCGGCAATTTATCCCAATAGCGGAGGCTTTAAGACTCTTAACGTCCACGAGGAGGATGATGACGATGAGGCTCTGGAGGCATTTGGCCGTATTGATGACGAGGACGACGAGTGGGCCAAGTCGACGAGGCAGTATCAGCAGCAACGTGAACTGCAACAGCAGCAGGAGGCGCTGGGCGAGAATAGGTATGCTAGGCGCGAGAGCGGCAGTGAGGGCGAGGACATGGAGGAGGAGGATGGAGAGAGCGAGGACTATCAACACTATAAGCATTATTGGCGTGAGTTGGACGAGGATGAAGGTGACGACTATCTCTATGAGCAGCAGCAGCAACGTGTCGACGACATAGCCGAGGAGGAGGAGGATAACGAGAACGTTGAGGAGCAAAACGTTCAGGACGAGGAGGAGGAGGAGGAGAAGCGACCAGCCGACAATCTAAAGCAATTGAAAGCTAAAGTGGAACAAGTTGGCGATGCCAATGTGGAGGATTCGAAGCCACAGCAGGATAACGGTGGGTATGAAAAGGAGGAACTTATCGATAATATGGATATGGAGGAAACAACCCAGCAAAGCGAATTTGCTAAGCTCACCACAATGCGCAAGAATGCGCAGGAGGAGGAGAAGGAGAAGGATACCGAGGAGATCAAGCAGCAGCAAGATGATGATGATGTTGATGGGGCTAAGAAGCAAGGACCATCAAGTGATATTAGTGCTACTACCATCACCGATAATAACAAGCAGCATACACCAGTTACTACGACTACGACACACATTAACAACTGGCAAGCTGGCGATGCAGATAATGATGATGATGATGTTAAACTATTGGATAGTATTAGTGATTTAAATGAAAAGCTACCTGAAATTTATGAGACTGCAAATATTGTTGTCAACTCAGCTGCAGTGCCAGCAGCAACAACACCAGCAGCAGCAGCAGCATCAGCAACACGCCCACCAACCGATAACCTAGAAGATGATTCGAACGCGATCAAACCGACCACTGTGGCTGAGGGGACAACAATGCGAACGACTTTTGGCAAGGCGGCAGAGGTGGATATGGAGATGAATGAGAAGAAGCCAACCCCAACCCAAAGCCAGGCCACTGGCCAAAGCAAGCCCGGCCGTAGTGTTTACTTTGCCGTCGATGCATATCAGAACGATGAGGATGCCGACATCGATGAGGAGGACGACGAGTACGACGAGGAGGAGATGGAGCAGCATGAGCCACGCAAGCAGCCACAGCACTCCATGGCCAACGCCTACACTAGGAAGCAGCGACAGCAGCATATTAATAGGTACAATGTACCACGCTACCAGCCAGCGGAGGCAGCAGCAGCAGCCTGTTCTCCCAGACAGCAGACCGAGAACTGGCGCTATCGTACACATCATTCGCAGGAGCAGCAGCCGGCGGCGAGCTACCGCAAGTACCGTCCGCCCTTCAGCACTGGCGGCGGCGGTGGGCACTATGGCAACCAGCAGCGCAATTATCTGGGCAGCTTCTCGCACAGCGGCGGTGCCGCTGGCTACAAGGTGGCTCCCATGCAGCTGCCCATGCAGCCGCCACAGAAGCTGCTTCCCCAGAGGCACAACAGCGCTGGGAGCAGCGGAAGTGGCAGTGGCAGCGGCAGCGGTGGATCACCGCCTTCCGATGAGCAGTCAACGATCCGAAATTGGCGACAGGATTGTGTCTACGCCCGCAGCTGTGGCATGAATCAGCCGCCGCCTTCGCAGCAGCAGCAACAACAGCAGCAGCAGCAGAACAATCGTTCGACTGCTCAGCGGGCTCAGCAGCAGCCGCGAATTGGCAGCGGTCGCTTTGCTCACCTGCAGGCGGCCCAGTTGATGGAGGAGCTGCCCGACATGCGGATCGGCCTGTCGCCGCCCAGCGAGAGTGTGCTGCTCCAGCGACGCCTGCGCCAGCAGCAGCGGGCCAACGATTTGTCCGAGTATTGCGAGCCGGCCACAGCAAGTGGCTAGTGATTACGTTGTCAATCCTTTTGCACTTGGGCAGAAAACTCTGTTTTTCACGCACATTCTCTGATGAAAACCAACTTTCCAGTTATATGATTCTTTTTTGGTGAAACATTTAGTGAAATTGAAACTATTTAAAAATTCTATCAATTCCGAATGCAAACCGAGTTAACAGAAAAAAAAAAAAAAAAAAATTAATAACAAAAAAAAAAAAATTCAATGTAGAGAGGTGTTAAAACAGAGACAGAGGGGCAGCCAGGAAGTGCGAGTGGCAAGTGTCTACGCTGTTTTGAGAAAAGCCAAACAGTCGTTCGAGATGAAAAACAACAGAAAACAAATACCTTTTTTTATAAAAAAGATTCGAAAAAAAAATTTATGTAATTTATATTGCACTATAATTTTTTATTATGAAAAATAAAAACGAATACGAAGAGTGTTTGAGATCAAGCGATGCATAAAAAAAACTCCCTTAGACTTTTCTGTTTTTTTGGCGATATAAAATCCTAAGTAGTCCCCAAAATTATTGCATGCATCCAGAGTCGAAATTATTACCGACCGAATTAACCAAAATGTACAACAAAATTGTTACAGAAATTTGTCTATTATGTTTTTATTTCTCATGACAAAAATTGTTAAAAGAGGAGGAAAACGCTATAAGTTGAGCTTATATGAAATCAATTGATTCGAGTGTCTCGTGAGATTTAGTTATTTAACGGAAATTATCATAGGTACAGGCTTGTGCCTTTCCTTGTGTTTATTTCTGCCAAATACTTGATTCTCTCGTGATCAGCAGTTACATATTTCTTTCCCAAATCCTGTTGAAAAAGTATATTTTTTAAGACCAACCTCCCGCAAACTCTAATACTAACACGGCACTGCAAAGGCCTTATAATAAGCTATAGAGGAGCTTGGAGCCAGCTCAAATTGAGTGCAATAAAATTATATGGCGTTGCTCATCGTGTTATTATAAGGTCTTTGGCTCTATACACATACACTGGGCGAAAAGCGAGGCAAAGCTAAGCAACTCTCTTGACATTGCAAGTTGCTCAACATTTATTTTTTGGAATGGGCGTAAATAAGAAGGAAAACATGCAATTTTGTTAAATATACAAACACAACACTTATAATATTTATGAAAATTGTGATATAACATGTAAATGTAAATGCACCTGAAGAAAAAAATCTATCTATCAAATGACGCTGTGCCATCAACAACAAGAACCGCCAGAGAAGAGAAATGAAACATTTTCCACACAGTCTTTGTTTACGTCCCACGAAATCAATGTCAAGTGCATATACACACACCAATATACTTATATTTTTCCAACCAACAGCAACTTGTACTAAAAAAAAAACTTCCATAAAAACGAAAGAAAAACAAGAAAAAACAAAAAAAAACCTATGATGAAATGTAAATGAAAAACCAACTATTGTTCATAATTAATTAGCTCAAATCGCTACTGAAGAGATCGGTTTGGGTTCGGTTAAAGTTTTGAACATTGAATAATAATGATAACAATAAAAACGACAGCGTCCATATAATTTTAAACTATATTCATGCAATCTATTCCTATACAGAATCAATCATATATTTGCATTGAAACTGATTATATCTGATGATATATATTGAGAAATGGAAACTATCGCTTTCGTTTTTGTTTGTAAAACTGTGAGGAATGTTTCGCAACGAAACAAAAAAAAAGAAAGAAATAAAATAAAAAACAAAAACAAATCGTAACTAAGAGTTAATTTAAAAAAAGCAGCAACTACACTCAAACAAAAGCCTTGGTTCTTTGCAAAATGTCCGATAAAAGCCAATGGGTAAACTTAAGTCGTTACACACCTGTGACTACCCACGTAAGAGACCGAGGAGGGGAAGGATCTGCAAATTAATAGTTGAGAAACTGATCGATTACATCAATTTAAATGTTTGTATGAGGACAATTTGTTTTAAAATTATTGCTATACAAAATTGAAAAAAAGAAATACAAATTCAAACGCCAAGAGAAATAATAGAAACCCGCAATAAAAGGAAGAGTAGATATTGTTTTATACATAAAAACTCAATAAAAATGCAAAATACATAAAATGTTAAGCAAAAGTGGTTTTATTTCAGAAATATTAAAGAAATGGAAAGAACAATTTGGGTTCTGGAAGAGATCTCTAGGTCTCTTAAAAAGGCTTGTTCAACTTAATATTAAATGAAGGAAGCGTAATATTTTCTCTTTCCGGTTCTCCAACGAGTGGAACTTTCTTTTTGTTCAGTCTTAGAAGCGGAACGGATATAAAACATGGATTGTGGACTAAACAAACACACAGAAGAGGAAAAGCCAGTAATAGCAGGAAGAAACCAGCAGCCTCCACACCCCCCACACTGGCCAATGGACAATAAATCACTGTCAAATGTTAAAAATCAGGAGTATTATTCTGAATTCTCCTGGGTAAACTCTTTAATATACTTCTACACTTTGAGAAGTGATTATAAACACAAATTAAAGGTAAAAAAGGGCAAACTCACTGTTTAAAATCTGTGATTCTATGAATCTTACGGTTTCAAGGAATAAGAAGTTAACAGTATTTTACAGGAGATGTCATTTTAAATATATTAATTTAAACAAGCCATAAATAATGACCTTTAAAATAGTTTGCTTACAAAATTAAAAAATTAAGGAGATTTCTTATTTATTTATTAATTTCACTTCAAATTCTAAACTTTCATTGATAACAGCATTTTGAATTTTCGGGTGACCATGTCAGACAAGCTTAATTATCGAAATTGTATAATTATCGATAGCTATATTTTATTCCCTGCCAATTGCAGTGTGACCGTGGGGCGAAAAGCTTCAAATGCACACATGTTTTTCAATCTCCCAGGTATTTCCCATTAAAAGCTGTTCAAAACTCCATATAACTTTTTTATGATTTTTGTGGGGGCAATAAAATAATTGCAACTATTGGAGACCATAGAATAGAAGCAGCAGGTGGATCTTTTCCACCAGGAATCGAAGTCCACATCCTCGCTCTTCAAGGCTGCTATGAGTTTTGCCGCAGGGAGCACAGGGATACCCAGCCGTTGGCAATGAAAAGTTCGACGGATAAGTGCTGCTGCTTCTGCTGACAAAAGAAGTGTGTATTTGTAAGGCAAAAACAATTGTGGTTCTGAACTTTAATTTGAGCTTCCGATTTCGTTGATTAATTACAAATTTTGATAAGGAATAGTTCGACTTTGCTGGGTGTATATTTGTTTTTATTTTTCACACACAAACTCGTATCAGTCAGTTTATAAATTAGTTTCCATTTTTTTCATATGCATTTCCAGCACATTTCGGCCTATGTGTGCGCACAACACTTACTTGTTGTTTGCTTAGACCACGACTGGAAGAACAGCCATGGAAAGCTTGGAGAATGAGCAGCAGCAGGAGGAGCTGCGCCACCAGCCTCGGGTCACCGCGGTGTCTTACAGTGGCAGTGTGTCCACAAATCCGGCCAGCCACGATACGCGTAAGCTGGCTCATTCTCAGCTCTAGGTATTCCTAATCCTGTTGTTGTCCCTCTTCTTGCAGATTCCCAGTATTCCTTGTACTACGATCAGCCGCGCGACTCGCTGTCCGACAGCTACATGCTTATGACTCCGTTCCCATCCGGCCAGGAGCCCCATTCAACGCCCCCGCCATCGTTCACTGCCCTTGTTGCTCCGCGCCGCGGCGAGGTGGCTAGCTCCGGGTTTGAGGCCGCGGTTGGGCGTTGCGACAAGTGTAGCTCCTTGAGCGAACTGTGCCGCTGCCCATCCCTGTCGCTGGCCAGCAGCAGTCGTTTTGCTGACTCTACCCAGAGTCTGGCCCAGGAAGAGCCGCAGTATTTTGAGCTGCCCTCTTCCTCCACGGCGTTGGCTACTCAACCACTCGCTGTCAACGCTGTTCCACAGCGTCCCAGGCGAAAGAAGACTGAAACCCTGACGCTGCAGCGAGACGCTGACATTGCCGGTGACGATGTTGTGACCTCCATCAGTGGCACTTGGCCGGCGGGTGCCATGGAGGAGCATGCCATGGACGCCTCTGCGGTGGTGGTGTATGAGCTGCCTTCCAGTTCGCAGCTGCAGCTGAGCAACAGCTCCTTCGAGACCCTGACAAGTGCGGCGAATGTGTACGATGATGTGACCTCCAGTGCCTCGGACACGGAGCACGTGCAGTTCGCAAATACGCGCACCACCAATACCACAACGACCACCTCGGCCGTGCAGGCCCACAAGAAGAAGGCCAACCGCTCCAGCGATGCCTCCAACTCGTCCTCTTCGGGAGGCGTCGATGTGGATACCAGGCCCAGTACCAGTGCCCAGGCGAGGCGTCAGCGTGTGGATAATTTCTCCTATCGCAGAACGAGAGCCATGGAGCCGGAGAATGAGAGCAGCGACGATGGTTGGGACCTGCGTATGCATAATCCTGCACCGCCGGCGGAGCCCGCTGTAACGATCATTCGGAGCAGTAGTGGCGGTTCCCGCGACTTGGAGGTCGGCCATGGGGATCACAACTACTACAATAGTCGCCGGCGGCATATGTGTGGGGCAAGGGCTCCACCGGACAGCACCTATATGTCGGCAGCCTCTTGCTCCACGGCCACGCACACGACCTGCAGTGTGGATTATGGCTCTCAGATGCGTCAGAGATCCGTGGATGAAGGCGATCCCTCTACCACCTCGGAGCAGGGACAAGAAAGGGAGCAGCAGGTGGGTCAGCTACTTGGAGGAAAGGAGGAGCAGCAGCAGGAGCTACAGCCTGGAGCTCAAGCCACGTGCAGCATGCAGAACACGCGGGGTAATCCTGGCCTAGTGGTGGGTCGTGTACGTCCCAGAGACGATGCAGCTCCGCCTACCAAACAGCCGCGCTTGGAGCTCCCAGAAAGATCGCCGCCCAACTCATCTACGAAGCTGTCACCACTGAAATACAATTCCTTTCAGCCGGGAAAGAGCAGGCATCGCACCTATGCAGATCAGGGAAGCAGTTCCAGTCAACAGGTGAGTCAACCAGAGCTCCACCAACTCGTTAAAACTTATTAGTTCTCCCTTAGAGCTTGGGTCAGACTGCCAACGGATCCTGTGTCATAACCTACGTGGGCCGGCCGAGGGAGAGGCACTCCTCTACGGAACTCCTCAATCTTCCGTCCACTTCCGCGGGCAGGCGCAGCGATGCGGCGGTGCTGACTGCTCCGGACTTGCAGCTGGATGACTGGTCGTCGGACTCGAATGATGATGATGACGATGTGGTCTTTGTGCACTCCACAAGAGAACCCATACTCTCGATTGATCTGACCTCCGATGACGACGGCCTGGCGAACGAAACGCAAGTGAATCGGGAGAGGGAAAGGGAGAGGGAACTGGAGAGGGAAACGGAAACGAACAGGGAACGTAACTTGGAACGGGATCGGGATCAGGATGAGCTGTTACTGAGTCGCCAGCAGACGCTTGATGACCGGCGGCCTATCTTCAACTATGCCTACTCCCTGCCCACCTATGCCCGCCGCTCAGATCGAAGGACGGAGGTCAACAATGATGGCACCTCAGCCTTCGCCTTTTACAGCGGGGCTCTGGCTGAACGGGCTCCCATCACGGATCACAACTACAGCTACGAGCTGGACCAGCTGATGGACCCCAACTCTGCTCACTTTTACCCACCGCGCTGCTCCAGCATGGATCCGCAGCGTTACTTCCAGCCGATTGCAGAGTCTCCTCTATGGTTGCTACCAGCGCCTCCGCCCCCTCCGCCGCCAGAGAATTCTTCAGCCGAGGCCTACAGTCGTCTGCCTCAAAGAGCAGCGACTGGTGCTGCAGTAGCCACATCGAGCAGCAGCTCCTCCAGCGGCCAGACATCCTCACAGTCATCGCGGCGGAGGCGCAGCAGTCCGGCGAACATGTATCACCGCTATCATCCTTACTATGTGCCCCACTACGCCATCACGCCCCTGCCCACTGTGATGGAAGCAGTGTACTCCCCAAGCCTGCAGCCCAGTGCTCATTCCTTGCCGCATCCCCACTACCAGGGCGGTCAAGGCGGAAGCAGCCGAAGTTCGTTAAGCGGAGCTTTGAACGCTGCTGCCGTGGCAGCGACGGCTGCAGCAGCTCAGGTGCAGTCCTTCAGCGAGCTACTCTCAAGGGCGCACAATGAAGGAGCTGGAGGAGGATTGGAGGATGAGATGCGCGCAGTTTCGCAGCCCATGGTGCACCAACAACAGCAGCAGCAGCAGCAGCAACAGCTCCAGCAACATCAGCGGCAATCCATCATTCCACCACCTCCAGGAGCCGCAGTCACCCTTGGAGCCTCAGTATCACCGCCACCGCCGCTGGAAATGTACTCTGGCCGGAGTACCATTCCGTACTGCGGTTCCCCGCCATTCAGCGTGCGAAGATCGGAGGCGGCGTACAGCAATCGGCAGCACTATCAACCACAGCCGCATCAGGGCCACCAGGCGCCACAGAACCAAATGCATGCCCACATCCATCCGCCTCACAGGGCCAGTGCCATTGTGGCCACCTCGCTGACACCGGCTCCCCCTTATCCGGTGCATCAGAACCTATGGTATCGCCAGCAGAGCATGCAGGAGATGCATCGCCGCCACATGACACCCACACCCATCGATCTCTCGTCGAATGCCCCTCTGCTGACGAGCAGTCTGCGCAATGGCTACCTGCACAGTATTTGCAACTGTGTACATGCCAGGAATGGTCCTGTGTCCAGCCTAGATCCCGCCTATTATCCGCCTTATGATGCGGCAGCAGCAGCAGCTGCTGCTCCTCCACCGCCGCCGCCGCCTCAGCAAGCTGTAGCACCTTCCAGCAGCAGCAGCAGTCCAGCAGCGACATCACATGCAGGTGGCGGCGGTCCTCAGCCACCGGGTTTCAGGCACGGGCAGCCACAGGCCCAACAATCGCCGCCTGTTATGCAGCATTTGCAGCGTCAGCGGGCGATCCACCATCACATGTTCCATCACCACTACTCGCCGCTGCATCTGGAAATCGGGCTAGCCACGCCCCTGTCCCTAGGATCTCGCATCCTTATTGGACCACCGCGCCCGAATCGTGGGGCCACTTTGGTTAGAACAACACACAGCTAGAAAAGTTTATTAAATAATAATATTCATTTTTCTTTGGCCTAATTCTAGGAAACCATCGAAAGGAATACCTTGCCGCACAAGTATAGACGTGTGCGGCGGCCCAGCGAGTCGGACGAGGATGCGGAAAAGTGTGCCATCTGCTTGACCCTCTTCGAGATCGAAAACGATGTGCGGTAGGCTATCAAAATAAGATTGCAAAAACCATAAAAAATATATTATAAATAATATTTAACACATTACAAATTCCAGCCGCCTGCCCTGCATGCATCTCTTCCACACGGATTGCGTGGATCAATGGCTGGTTACCAACAAGCACTGCCCCATTTGTCGTGTAGACATCGAGACGCACATGGCCAACGATGCGCTGGCGCCTAGCTCCAGCGGCGTGACCGATGCAGCCGCCAATACTGCCGCCTTATGACATTGTGTGCATGGCATCTTTATGTAAAAGCAAATCCAAATCCAAATCCCTTAGACTGACTTTGTGGCGGCAACAGATCCAAGAAGTGTTTGACCCACCCTTGAAAATATCAAAAAGCCAAGTCTGTTTGGCTCAATTCTAATATCTATTTTATGATAAGTGATCCGGCATATAATTTCCTATATATAATATGAATATGTGTGCGTGTACAAATTGTGTCCATGTTTTGTGAAACAAAATTCTTGTGATAAGAATTTCATAAATCCGTATTTGTTATAGTATTTGTAGAACTTGATTATAATTTGGCCCAACCTTGTTGTTATATTTTTAATTAACCCGCGAAATACATAAGACTTCCCTATATTCCCTAATGCATTATTCCAAATGCATTTTCTCAATTAAAACTAATGTTTTAATACATTTTCTTTATTAAAATCATTGATTTTATTATTTAACAAAATAAAATATCTACCAACTATTGCTCATCTCAATATTGTGCCATATGATATTTAAGTGATTTGATCATGTGCAATTTTCCATAGCTTCTTCAGCTAGAAAATTGTATAGTGTCAAGTAGCCTAAGCTTGGTCTTATTTTGTCGAAATAAATAACTGTTGTCAAGGACAGCAGCAGCTACAAATTGAATAAATAATTAACCAAATTCAAATATGGATGTGTATTTATTTATTTATTTGCTATTGGTAACAGTTTATGGCGAAATGTAAGCATACAACTGGCTGTATGTATAAGGTTTCGTGTTCAAATCTATAGCTACACTTGGTTTTAAAAAGGTTTCTTTAAGTCAACATCCTATTATTATGTCTAGGGGATCGATGATCAAAGAATCTGGGCTGAAGAAAAGCATATATTTACCCCATTTTTACTTGTAACTATGTAAATATATCTAATTTTTTGTATTTATAATTACAGAAACTGTGTGGATTACCCCTTGAAGTCTACCCTACCAGAGTCAGAACATGTCAAATAGACTCAACTCCTCTAGGCTGAGCTACTCGGTCCAGCTTCAGGATCATTGGCTTCCGCTTCCGCCTCCTCCTCATCCCCATCCTCTTTGGTCAAATCGGCGAAAAAGTCAGATGCATTGGTGCACTTGGATGAGGGCAGATTGTGACGCTTTTCCTTGTAGGCATTATGCTTGTCATTGTACTTGATGTCGCCAAAGTCCTCGAAATACTTGACATTCCAAAAGCGTACGTCGTTGTTGTGCGAGGAGGAGGCCAGAAGCTCTCCGCTGCTGTTCACGTCCAGCGACTCGATGGGCATGTTATGCTGCCCCACCACGCCCAGATTGCGATAAGGTGTAATGTGACATGCTCGGATGTTGCCATCCTCGCCGGCCACGCAGGCGATCCGATCCGTTATGGGAATCATAAGGCTAATTGGGCTCTTGATGCCCGGATACATGTCACAATGGAAGCCAAAATAGCCCCAGTTGTAGGTATACAGGCGGCCCTTGGAAGTGCCAACCACTAGCTTGGAGTCGCCGCGATAGATGCCCATACAGTTGAGCTCCTCCTCATAGGGCTCCGACTGGACATACATTTTGCGTGCGGCAATGTTAAAGGTCGTTAGATAACCATCGGCACTTGTGGCCAGCAGAAGCTTGTTCTGGTCATTACTTATTAGCTGGGTGACTTGATCCTCCAGCTCTTTCAATTCAAAGATGGAGTTCTTGGTGCGCAGGTCCCATAACTTGACGGTGCCCGAATCGTCGCCAGTAGCAAAGAGATTTTCATTCAGCACGTGTAGAGTATTGATAGCGTCGTCGTGCGCCGTTTCGTACAACTTCTTCAGTTTCTCCGTCTCCATGTCGGTGACCATCACGCATTTGTCCTTCGAGCAGGTGAGCAGAAATCGCCCGTCCTCGGTAAACTCTACGTCGCGGCACGCTTTCGAATGGACCTCGATGGTGCGCAGCAACTTGTTTCCTTCGTTGGCGTACTCGTACAGATGCACATCCCCGATGATGGTGGCCAGGGCGACGATGTCACGGCTCGGATGGAAGCAAACGTCAGTGATAAAGTCCTCCAGCTTGATCTCCGGCGGGGCGCTGCGTGGCTTCTTTATGGCGGCTATTATGGCACGTACTGTTTCGTCTGTTTCATCGTCTTCGTCGAGTTCGAAGACAGAGGCCTCTGCAGATTCCTTTTGACTGCCCGACGGGCCATCGTCATCCTTGCGCCGCTTGGCGCTTGTGGCTCCCCCAGCAGCACCACCACTTCCACCCGCAGCCTCCTCCTCCGCCGCCATTGAGTCATCCGAATCAGAGTCCTCGGCATTTGGATCGAAGCTGCCATCGCTGCTGATGCTCTCGTTGCCATCGTAACTGCTGTCGCCATCGTTGTCTGGCTCTGGGGCACCCATGTCCACCAGGTCGTACGCGTCGTTGTCGCTGTCCGATTCGTTTAGGACCTCCTGCTCGATCTCTGCTATCACGCCCACCACCATGTCCTCGTCTAGATCATCCAGTTCATCAGCATCCGAAGGGGTTTTGAAATTGTTATGCCTGCACAGGAGAGTCAAGGAGCTGATTAATGCTTGCTACCCTTGGGAGGCGAAGGAGTACTCACGTGTGCATACTATTAGTTACACAAAATCCTGTAATTAAGCGCTGATTTTATTTATTGACTGCGCCACGCTCGAATTTGTTTGGATACCACGGGAACAAGAGGAAGAAAAAGCATGTTGACGACGGGTTGCGAGGATACGGCAACTCTGAAAATAACAGCTGGGTGCAGTTTGGCAGTGCTGCCCACTTTTGCTGGGAAAAAAACTCGTTTTCAGCGGGAAATATAGTATATTTAAAAGCAAAGAACAACCTAAATCGTCTCGGCAATTTTCTTTTAAAATTTTACCAGAAAAATTAAAAATTGCTAATATAAACATAAAACTGAAAATCTGTTCTTAAAAAAGGGTAAATATTTAAAGGAAAAAAGCTAAATTATCAACACTGATGGGTATCACAACAATCTGGCAGCTCTTACAGCTGCTGGCAACGATCTGGCAGCTCTCAGTGGTTTTTATATTGGCATTGCGCGCTTTTTATCCTTATATCTGTTAATTTAATACGAAATTGTTTTGTTTACCCCGGAATATTGTTGTTGTTTGTGCGGGAGCCGAATGAGTCGCTCATCGAGATGTCTAAGAAAGCTTTTGCGCCAAGGAAACAGCTCACACTCAGTAGCTTTATTGGTTTGGATAATAATTCCCAAAGTCAAAAGAAAGGTAAAATTGGCCTATAAATGGTAAAGTGAAGTTCCTAATTGAGGTATTTCAGTAAACAATGCCAGGACCGTGCCCAGTGCCGTTTACAATCCCATCTTTCTGGACTCCTCATCGTCTGATGAGGAACCTTCTCAGAAATCCAGTCAATCGTCTGGGAAGGAAGCTGTGCCCCCTAAGAAGCACACCTATCACAGCCTGTCGCAGTCGCCCCTAGCTCCGCCAGTTTCCAAGAAGAAGGATTCCCCGAAAAAGCCCTCCCGGAGTCAAATCTCTTCCCAGGAAAGTATAATACTTGATGATTCTCCAAAGAAACTGCCTCAAAATGGAAGAAAGGACTCCAAAACTGAAAAGATATCGTTAATAAGTTTTTTTGATGAAACTCCAAAAAAAGAGCCACTAAATGAGAGGAAGGACCACCCGAAGACTTTTTCCATCTCGCCGTCTCCGGTAAAGAAGTATTCCTTTGAAGATTCGCCCATTCAACAGAATGGCGGTAAGCATCCCTTACTTACCCTGCCAGATTCACCTCCACCGCCTGTTAAAAACAAGGATTTGTCCAAGGACCTGCCAATAACTGAAAGAAAGCACACACTTAAGAGCCTGTTGGATTCCCCTTCTCCACAGGACAATAAAGCTAAGATGACTGCCATTCTGCTGGACACTCCTTCTCCTGGCCACAAACTTGGTTCGGCCAAAGAAAACAATAGACCTTCAATATCAACTTCGCTCCCGCAGAAATCTGCTCCCTCTTCTCCAACGCCGGCAGCGCCTTTGAAACCCCGCCTTAGTGTGGCCTTTGACAATTCGCTGGCCGATTACCTGCGGGATCTGGCCCAGAACGACAACTTTGGCATAGATCCAAACCAGCAGAGCCCGGCTGCTCTGAAGACCACCCTGGGCTTCTTCCGCAGCACCTACGTTGAGTTGATGGAGAAGTATTGCGCTTTGATTGACCAAATTCCCGCCATGCATTTCAATGAAATCGCCGGTTTTCAGCCGAATACCTTCCTCAAGCTAAAGGTGATGCGCCAGAAGTTTAAGGCGCGGACACAGCTGCTTCAAAACACGCTGGACAGGAACGAGAGCCGGCTGAAGGCCGAGCAGGAGGCCCTGGAGTTAGAGGAAATGGAGATGCAGGCGGAGCAGAGTCGCCTGACGCCCAACAATGTTCGGGTAACGTCCCTAAATAAGCTCATGCCAGGCTCTGATCTAAAGGAAAGCAAGGAACTAAAAATGCCCAAGCGGGAGGAGCTTCTCCAAAGCCTCTGCGGAGAACCAGATGATTACTCGCCTCCGTCCCGGAAGCAAAATGATCCGCCCAGAAAACGTGATGAACTCATACACGATCTCTGCGGCGAGCCGGATGATTACATTGGCCAGCCTTCCAAAACGAGTCATGATCCGCACATGCTGAGGAAGCAAGAGGAACTCATACACGATCTTTGCGAGGAACCGGAAGACGACTACTTGGCCCAAAGCATGCTGCTGGACGCTGACTTGGAGGAGGAACAGATGAACAGGGCCACACAGCAGACCAACACAGCCAGCGAAATGGACGAGAACGATGATGATGACTTGGAGGGACTGCTGGCGGAGATAGAGAACGAGCACCAGGAGTTGCAGGGTCGCAGGTCCGAGTTCAATGGCTATGGCTACAAGGACTTTGAGTCCGTAAAGGTCAAGGAGAAGCCCAAGGAGATAACAAAAAAGACACCCACAAGTGGTGTCCCCTTAGACGAAGATGGTTTCCCCGCCTACGATGAGGCAATGTTCGAGGAAATGCACTCGCAGGCTGCCGCTAATCTGACACACCTGAGTGAGGCACCCAGTGGCAGCCGCAGCAGTCCACCGGCCAAGCTGCCCACGGCCAAGGACTCGCAGAAGCTCTCGGGTAACTTCCATTCGAATGTCCACAATGATGGCACCACCGGGGAGTTTGATGGACAGCGGTTTGAGCACTCCACCCGCCTCATGCACGGCCTGAGCTATAGCTTCGGCCTGAAGAGTTTCCGGCCCAATCAGCTGCAGGTGATCAATGCCACGCTCTTGGGCAACGATTGTTTCGTGCTGATGCCCACGGGCGGCGGAAAGTCGCTGTGCTATCAGCTGCCTGCCATCCTCACAGAGGGCGTTACCATTGTGATAAGTCCTCTGAAGTCGCTGATCTTCGATCAGATCAACAAGCTGGCCTCCTTGGACGTGAGTATGCCAGGTGTATCTCCCGAGCTAGTTCCTCTTTAAACTCTTTTTCAGATCTGTGCCAAAAGCTTGAGTGGGGATCAGAAGATGGCCGACGCCATGGCCATCTACAGGGATCTGGAATCACAGCCACCGATGGTTAAGCTGCTGTACGTTACGCCCGAGAAGATCAGCAGCTCGGCCCGCTTTCAGGACATCCTGGACACACTCAGCTCAAATAACTACATCAGTCGATTCGTCATCGACGAGGCCCATTGCGTCTCCCAGTGGGGACATGACTTCCGTCCGGACTACAAGAAGTTGGGCATCCTCAAGAAGCGTTACCCCAACGTGCCAACGATCGCCTTGACGGCCACTGCCACGCCCAGAGTCCGCTTGGACATTCTGGCACAGCTGAATCTAAAGCACTGCAAGTGGTTCCTGTCCAGCTTCAACCGCAGCAATCTGCGCTACAAGGTGCTGCCCAAAAAGGGCGCATCCACGCTGGACGACATTAGTGCCTATATTCGGACCAAGCCGGCACACTCGAGCGGGATTATCTACTGCATGTCGCGCAAGGAGTGCGACGATGTGGCCAAGAAGATGTGCAAGGACGGCGTCCGGGCAGTGGCCTACCATGCCGGTCTCAACGACACGGAGCGTGAGAGCCGTCAGAAGGATTGGCTCACAGGCAAGGTGAAGGTGATATGTGCCACCATAGCTTTTGGCATGGGCATTGACAAACCGGATGTGCGCTTCGTTTTGCACTTTTCGCTGCCCAAGTCCATCGAGGGTTACTACCAGGAGGCAGGTCGTGCGGGACGCGACGGCGATGTGGCGGATTGCAACCTGTACTACAACTACTCGGACATGCTGAGGTTCAAGAAAATGCTGGATGGTAAGATGCGGCCTCAGGCTGGAACCTTGGTTACCTGTTAATTCCTTTTCTTCATCCTTCAGCCGACAAAGCCCAGCCGTACAATGTCAAGAAGATGCACCTGGACAATCTCTATCGCATTGTTGGTTACTGTGAGAACCTCACGGATTGCCGGCGTGCCCAGCAGCTGGACTACTTCGGGGAGCACTTCACCAGCGAGCAGTGCCTGGAGAACAGGCAGACCGCCTGCGACAATTGCCTCAATAAGCGTGCCTACAAGGCCGTCGATGCCTTGGAGTTTGCCCGGAAAGCGGCGCGAGCTGTCAAGGATCTGTGCAGCGGCCGATCCCGGTTCACGCTTCTACACATCTCCGATGTCCTCAAGGGCTCCAAGATCAAGAAGATCGTGGATTTTAACCATGACAAGACGCCGCATCATGGCGCCCTAAAAACTTGGGAGAAGAATGATATCCAAAGACTTCTACGTAAAATGGTTATCGATGGCTTCCTTAGGGAGGATTTGATATTTACCAATGATTACCCGCAGGCCTACCTGTTTCTGGGCCTGAACATCAGTAAACTGATGGAGGGCACGCCCACCTTTGAGTTTACGGTGACCAAGAAGGAGGGCAAGGCCTCGGTGGGCAGCGTCTCGGAACCGGGAGCAGCCTCCAGCAGTGGTGGCGATGGCAAGTCAGGTATGCAGGAGATCCATGAGCGTTGCTACACGGATCTCCTGGATCTCTGTCGGACCATTGCCAGCCAGCGGAATGTGACCATGGCCAGTATCATGAACATTCAGGCCTTGAAGAGCATGGCGGAGACGCTGCCGCTCACGGAGAAAGACATGTGCAGTATTCCCCACGTGACCAAGGCCAACTACGACAAGTATGGTGCCAAGCTGCTCGAAATAACCAGCAACTACGCCTCGGAGAAGTTGTTGATGCAGTCTATAATGGACGAGGAGGCGGAGCAGGCAGCCTCCAAGAAGCCGCAATCTTCCGGATGGAATAACAATGACAGCGTTGACTGGGACAGGGCAGTGGCATCGCAGGGTGGTGGCAACACCAGCGGCGGTAGCGGTGCCTTCAACTCCTACCGAGCGGGCAAAAGAAAGAAGATATATAACAAAGGTGGCTCCTCCAAGAGGTACAAATCGAATGCAGCATCGCCAGCGGCCAAGAGGAGTACCACCTCCACCCGGGGTGGTCGTGGAGGCAAGGCCGGTGCCAAGCGGGCAGAGAGCACAGCAGCTGCCTCATCTTCCACATCATCGTCTGGCTGGAAAACGAAGAAGACGGGGGCAAGTAAGGGCTTCGATTTGATGCCGCTGCCAGGATCAAAGTAACTTTACGTCGCTATTAAGGGTTTATCACTGCGAATTTTTTACATAAACTTTCATTTTGTTAAACAATAACAGCACTAGACTATAATATACAACAATTGGATGCAGCTCTCTCTCGGCTCCCCAGCCTCACCTAAGTACTTAAAAAGCCTCCAGTAGCGTCTCAGGACTTGGGCATTTGCCGCACCTTGTCCTCGAACTCGTAGGCACCCATCGACCAGATCAGATTCGCATCTGTCTCCACCTGAACAAACTCCGTGGCGTAGGTATTCGAGGTGCTGACCATCCCACCAAATTCCATTTGTGCGTGATCTACGGATATCCAAGATTAGAGCTTCCAACTTCGAGGAATCATTCCATTCCAAATACTTACACAGGTTCCACTTTAAACCCGTGGTGGTGACATTATGCGCCGTCGCTCCCACCGGCATCAGGGAGCACCATCGCTGGGTGGTGACCAGGTCCACGGGCACCTTTATGGTGTGCTTCCCGGGCCGCAGCAACCACGTCACCGAATCGCCGCTCAGCAGAAAGACATTGCAGTTGTCCTTCTGGGATTTGTACAGTGTATTCAGGTTGGCCATCACATGGTCCAGCCGCCCGGAGGTGTCATGGAACACGACCACGTCCTGGATTTTGCGCTGTGCCATCACCGGCTGGAGGACAGCTATGGCTTTCGTAAAGTCCGTGGCATCTTGGTCGGGCGTATGGATCTTGGGCGTGGTCTTGAAGAAATCCACAGTCTCCTCTGTGATCGAGTCAAAGTCACCCGTTATCACGTCGAGTGGTTCCAGAGGTGCGCTGGCTGGTTCGTCTTTCGAGTGCTTCGATAGGACCTGATCCACCACAAAGTTCCGCCAGTGGTTGGAGCCACCGTCCACGGCGCAGCGAAGGGCAGCTGGAAAGTTAAGAGCTTCGGATTAGGAAATTCTGGAAAGGCCAAGGCCAGAGCCACCTTACCATTCTTCCATAACAACGTGACCACGTGCGCGGGCACCTGAATCTGGCGGTTGAGCACCACGCAGACATGACCATTGTCGCCCAATTTAAAGTTCTCGCTGATCAGGTCGCCCGGCGTCCACTTGTACACCTTGGGCGGGATTGTGTGGTCCATTTGCTGCCGGAATCCGATTGTTGTTTTTGTGCAGAAGAAGCGATGTTGCGCTGGATGGGTCGGCCTGCCAACTCGCGCCAAACGCCGGCCCTCGGTTAACGCGCGCTGGCCGGAGCGCCGCATCCAATTTAAGACGACCTTGGAGCCGCATCCTGGTGACATTGTGCGGCCACCAGTGCCGTAGGGAGTTTAAGAAAATTCGTATAAACTTGAAATAATAAGCCAGGCCGGTCCATCGACTCGACAAAAGCATTTTTGAATCTCCAAAATTGTTCGTTACAAGTCTGGTCACTCTAGGCAACGGTTAGGGGTGGACCCGGTCCAAATTTTTGGCGGCTTTTTAAATTCTTGCGAGCTATTGTAGATTTATCACAAATCTCTTAATTTTGATTATCCCAGAAATTATTTTATAAAAATATGGATAAATATTAAATTTTAATACCCCTAATAACTTCAGTCAGAAGCTTGAAACGCAGTGAAAGAGTCATTTTCGAACCTATATTTGATATGTATTCTTGATCAGCATCAAGAGCCGAATCGTTTTAGCCATGTCCGGAGAAAAAAATTTGTTTTTGCCATTTCTTCAAAATTTTATAAGGGGTTACATTGATAAAATTTAAAAAAATCGACCAAATATTGGATTTCCTTAATTTTGAATTTTAATATGCAGATTTGGTAACCTAGAAAAAACTAGCATTGAAAAGCTTTCAGAATTAAAATTGATGCTCTTTTTGTTTACTTAAAACCATTTTAAGTGAGGCCTCTGATCCAAGGATATACAAACTTCGGTTTGTTATTAAATCTTTTTAACATAAATTAAACAATTTTAACATGGTTTGTAAAGTTCACAATTTTTAAGCATTATTCCGGATAGTTTTTTGATTGATTTAAAATTTATAGGGAATTTCGGGCTACCCTTAAAATACATATTAATAGATCTAAAATTTTAAGTCGTTTCTTGCTGTCCTAAAGACATAGGACTTTAATCGCACCACCACATATAAATTTTAATTAAACGGCTACTTCGCCTTAATAGTAGTTATTTTTCATACAATAGACAAAATAATCCTTCGTTGAACTTTTGTGGCTTAGGTTAATGAAGCAGGTCGGCGCGTTCGAAGGGACTGCGGAAGCGAAAAGCTGACCAGAACGCTGGCGTCTGACCAGACTTGGTGGGGGCATTTGGACCACAATACTTTTGTGCTCGAACCTACCGATGCCAGCTGTATCAATATTGTTACAGTTCATTTTGTTTGACCTCCACAAATAAAGGCATTTATACGGATGGATCCTGTGGCCGGACCACGAGCACATCAGACATCCTGGCCATGGCCTTTGGCCAGCCCCGAGTTCTGGTCTCAGGGATTGACAGTGCACGCCGCCCCCCATTGTTGGTCACTCGATCCGAGGAGGGGGCGTAGTTGAATAGCTTTACATGCCACGTCTGAAATGCATTGTCCAAATAGCATTGTGGCTCGGAATCATTTAAATCTGTGGAGCTATTGAAACTTTTAAAGCAGACCCGGTGACTAAGCTGCATTAACCGGATATATCTCGTGTTGCGGTTGACAAAAAAAAGATGATAATAAAGGCTGTCATATCGATTTACAAAACAAAGAAATTGCTGGCATAAAGGCATTGGTGTATAAATAATAAAATAATTGACACATGTCAAAAGTTTAGAGGAAATTTAAAGCAAATAAAGATGGGCTTTGTGATAATTAATAAACTGGTTTTAAGTTCTTAATGGATATATACTGATTTATAGTGAAAATGCATCATGCACTTTGTTTCTGCTTTAATCAACTTTTTAGCATTATCCTTGATAATTTTCATGCTCAGGCACAGAACCCCACGGAAACCCATGAAAACCAAAGGGAATTTAGCACGTGAAAATGTTTCCTCTATCGTGGCAGCCATAAATAAATAAAATTACATTCGTACACGCATGCCTTTGGCATATTCGTTCGCCCCACCACGACTTTGAAACGAATTACTTGCGTGGAACACCCTAACGAGGAGTTTCGGTGTAGACCCCATCATCCTGACCCGATTGCAGGCTTAAACCACCGTCCAAGGCATCCCATATTCGGCTTAACACTTTCTTGTTTTCCCCGAGAGAGGGAGAGAACAAGCAAAAGTCTAAAAGATTTACGCTTGCATTTTCTGGGACATCAAGTGCAACATGTGCCGCGAAAGTGTGTGTTCAGAAACAGAGATTTATGCCCGGATTATGGCTTAAAGACCTGGCCAGAGGATTTAAAGATACTACCTATTAAATCCTTAATAAAGCGGACTCAGTGCGTGCTCTATTTAGCAGGTGCTGCCTCGCTTTCCCCAACTAATTGCAATATAGTCACCGCTTGCATCTGAAATAAGTGTGTCACATATAGTATTTATATTTATGGTTGCAAAATGAAAACTAGATACCAGCCGGGAGTGTGTATTTGCTCAGTAAATTCAAATACCTCGGCACTTGCATTTTGTTGCAGCTGCAACTCTCCTTTTTTTTTAGGGGTAAGGGGTTATGGCCCATCTCCATTTCGCCGACTTCACAGTTCAATGCACCGTGATGACGTGAGTAGGAGTTATTAAGTCACAATAGGCAATGGCTTGCTTCACGTTGCCAGGAAGTGGAGCGGGAGCAGAAGCGGTAGTAGCATGGCATGGCACCCACCTGCCTTCCTGCCTGCCTGCCAGACAGCGAGAGCGCCAAGGATGCGACAGGAAATTCATCAATGTCTCCACCGCCTGTCGCCTGCATTCAGCTTGCCAAACGCGGCAACATTTTAACCCCAAGCCCCAAAGAAATTGCCAATGACATGGAGAAGAAGAGGGGATAAGCAAGAGCTGCTCCTAGTTGAGTGCCCCGACCAGAGGATACCCGTCAGGCAGGTTTGGCTAAATAAACAACATTTTGAGTGCATCTAAGGAGCACTCAACATGACAAGCATTGAAGCAAGCTCTATATAAATAGAAAATTGTTTTTTAATTACTCTAATTCTAGCAATATTTTATTATTAATTCTTTGTTATATAGATCCTTTCTAAAGCTATAATACCCCAGAGTACCCAAAAAACCAGGAACCTAAAAGAAATATGAAGCTGAGAGCAAATACTAGGTTATTTACGGCCCGGAGAGATAGAAAGCGGAAGTTGGCTGCCGGGCCTTTTACCGCCAAAGAGGAAATTATGAATTTAGGTGCGGCTGCCATTTTGCAATTTTTTGTTGGCTTGCTTTTTGGTGAACTCTATTCGCTTTATTCGCTTGTAGTTTTAGCTGTCTATATGCTTGGTTTCAGTTCAGAGCTCGGCATAATCCTGCTGCTCTAGTCCAGGAGACACTGTCAAGTGTACAAGTTGATCCTTTGTCAAATTAGTGGAGCGCACTTGAATGCAGAAAAACCGCAAACTGGCAGACACACGACTGTCCCTGCCACTTCACTGTATTCCAGGATGGGATCTGGCTGACCAAACAATACTTATCCGCATTTACATATTCAAATTTGCTTACCCCGAGCCCAGGACAGCAGGACTCTCTCGAGTGTCTGTGGAAAATGGAAAAAATGTATGCGTGTGATACTTATGTTAAAGCCACCCACTCGTGCACATAAAAAGAAAATATTATTATTACTATTACCATATACATATTTGCGTTATATTTGATCTTTTTTTAGTTTTCGTTTTCCATTTGCATTTGCATTCACATGCAAATTGTATTTATTTCTGCGTTTACAATTATTGTATTACGTCAAATTAGCTTAATTATTACAAATACCGAGCACATTATTCCCATGCCGATTCTCCATGCGAAATATAACACCAATAATGTGTCCTTAATCGAGTAGAGCCTTCCGGGCGCAGAGAGGCTGCTAGCGCATAAATCACATGGCGTATGCGTAATTTTAGTATATGTATATCGAGTTGCATATACTTTTTGTGTTGGGGCCCTATGTATA